TCCTCGTGAAAGGCTTAAAACTGTTCTATATCACCCCGAATACAATCGTTTTTTAAAGGTTGGATTGAAAAGTAACTGTCTGTGAGATACATTTTAGTTGTTAAAAAAACGCTGCAAAGTGGCAAAGAAGAAAGGCTAACTTTCAATATTCCCGCGTGACCACAGAATGGATATCAAATGAGTAGTAACCCACCGAACATAGCTCATATCGTAAGTTTCTTCTCAATATTATCCATTTTTTTTATCAAATCTGACTTGGGGAATGAGTACTTTTTCTGCAAAATTTTCCACGATTTCACATTACTAACGACGCTTAATAAAAGAAAATTATGTATTTCTTGCCCTCCGTGAAAAGATTATTTCTAGTGTTCTGATTGTTTGCTGAGTGCCGGTTGCCAATGCATAAACAGCGCTGTCTTTTGATCTTATCAGGGAAACAAACGTGCCTATTTTCTCTAAGCTACAGTTGCCCATTCGTCCGTTCGCCCATTCGTGCTTACGCTCATCTGTCCGAGCCAATCAGAATCATCCCAGCCGAGTCATGATTCTACAAGCAGTTTACTTACAGTCTTGCGGGGGCTGGGGATCTTCTTTTTTTTCTGTCAATAAGCAACTGACGGAACACTAGCATCACGGGATGATTCACCCCGCTTGAGAGTTGCGAATATACGGCATCCTTATAAAACCCTTTCGCACGAGTTAGAATTTAATGCAAATTATGATCTCTGATAGCTTGTTCATGGCGTTTGTCTCCCTTTTTTCCGTAACAGACGGACCAATGGACAAAAAGCAGCTCGGAAAAGATGTAGAGCATTGTTTTTCTTAATGTAATCGAAAAAATTCACGGTATTAAAATACTTTTTATAATTCCAATTTCATGAAGAAGCAGCTCAAAAATGAATGATGTTAAGAATGGTTATTTCTCTATTAGCTCCGCTAAATGAAAGTCGTCTTAAATCAACTTCTGTTTCATCAAATGGCAGCTAAAGCTAGCTTCCCATCTGTTCGTACGCATAAACGGAAATGATTATTGTTTATGTTGCTGTTTCATTTGGTGGGTGTAATTATTTCGTAGACCTTCAACTTTGATGGACTAACTCACTCATATGTTAATAACATGTATTATTATTTTTACAGCACGGCAAACTCTGCGTAAAAGGATTTCTTCTCGGTTTTCTTAGACCGTGAGTTCGATGTGAGTTTACGTAAAGATCGTTTTATTATCAGAAAACTAACTGAGGCTAACGGCCATAGTTTAGCGTTCAGCCAACAAAACAACTCTCCCCTGCAAAAGCGTCATGCAGACCATTACTTTTGTGTCCGGATTTTGAATTCCAACATTTTAGAAGGAGCGGTGGGGTCAAAAGGACTGAGTGGGAGACGTTCCTTGGTCATAGTGATGTGCTCTGTGGGCCAGACATTCTACTCTTAAGTATCTCTCTGTGCTCACGGAATAATTGATTATTTATTTTGGAATATCCAATAGTCTAAGCTGCAATAAAGTTAGTAAATCGAAGCTTGAAACGTTTTGACATATCGCATTTGGGTAGTGTAAAGAGACATGTACTTGTACATTCAAGAATGTTCCTTTTTTTTTATTATTTCTTCCGCCTAAATCGTACACTTCCTCATCCATGCTGATTTATAAATAGGTATTACGTAGTCTAGCCTATTGTAAACCGAGTTAGGCACATCTACATGATCAACTCCTTCTTTCGCTGGTTGAAATTCCTCTTCAATGCTAGCCTCTCCTTTGTAGTGATATTCGAAAGCCAGGTCCTCGCAAACATTCTGCATTGCTATTGATGAGCTTTTTGCCCTTAAATTGTCTGCTCTGTGTAAAAGTTCTTTAATCGCTGTTTGATGAAGGTTGCGCAAGAGATAATAATCTCTTGGTTTATGCCATCTCCGGCTAGCGTCGCCCCTATTGAATTCCAAATTACTCGATGTATTTTCGATTCAAAATGGTACTCCTTATCTTAGGGATGCGAGGAAAAAAAAAACTGGCAAATGTAACTGATCAAAAACGACCCAACCATAAGGGCTTTTCTGTATTTTCTAAATTGGCTTTTTATTTATTCAACCATTTGCATATTCATCTATTTGTTCATTAAGCAACAACTTTGAATGTCAACTTAATTTTTTAATTTTATTTTAATTTGATAAACATTTATTGAAGAAACAATTATACAAAACTAAACTTACATAAAATTACTCTGCTTACATCACTCGACATCACTCTACTTACTACATTACTGTACTTATTGGATTAGTCTCTAGTACTTGTTTCCTACTTGTACTGACAGTCACTTAGTAACAGTCACTTACAGCGTAATGTTACTTACATTACATTACTAAACAGAACATGACTTAATACATTACAATACAAAACTCGCAATTCGCTAATTAAGCTGACTTGCCTACTTATAATTACTTGAGTACTTTACGCAACGGTACCTTAATTACCCTGTACGAACACCACGAAGTTAATTTAGAGACAGTGCTGGTAGAAAGAAAAGATAAGATTTTGGGCTTTGATTTAGTGTGTCTGTTTAAATTGGCTGGTTAAATCAGGAAAAAAGGCTTCCCGGGAAAATCTGTGAATTAGGGATGGGCTTCTTTAAATTCCTGCATATTTAGTTTCTTTTCTAAACATTTTCAAGGGTAAATGTATAATTTTAGAATAATAATGAAAAGGTGTAGTCTGTGTCTCGGGAAATCGGTTCGGTGAGTTAAACGGGGGATGTTGTTAAAAGTTATTTGTTTATTTAAAAGCGTAATGTCGGTGTCATTTTCCTGTTTGAACCATGATATGGCTTTGAACGTCAACTTTAGCTGCTACTACTATGGGCATTTTTTTTTGTTACGGTACAATTTAACCGACAAAAAGAACACTATTAAACAACTTTAATATTCTTACTAAGGAGCGACTCTTAAAGGAAGTATAGTTTTTACGCTAAATAAACTTATTTAAGCCCACCACAAATTACATCTTAGCTCACCACTGACACAATCTCACAGTTGTCTCCCAAGTTCCTCGAAATTAAAAATCTCCCACAGTTGCTCTCTTTTTGTTATAACTATCTGAAAAATCAGTCACTCCCGACAACAACAAGTACTACTGCTGCACGACTGAGTCTTTTTGTATTAAGTGTTCCAGATAATTCCGGAAGCTTACAGAAACCATTTTGGTGGTGTTACACCATAGCTACGCAACCTAATAAAATTTTGCAGAACAATTCCTTTGTATGCATGTCAGCATAACTAGGTATTCCAAAAATTTCTAGAAATTACTAGTTTCAGAGACTATCCATAGCTTATAATTAAAATTAATAACAGTGTTTGATAAGAAGTTTGTAAATTAAGTAAGTGAAATAAAGCAGTCATCAACATACGGAGCCATTAGAAATTTAAATTTATAATAAAGTTCGGATATAACGAGCGCTGTCATTGGTTGAAAGAGCGTGCTCTATGAGAGTATAGAGCATAGAACTGAGCTACAGCTATCACGCCAACTACCAATTGTACCATGTTCGAGCTTTTCCGGGACTTCTTTTTAGCTTTTTCCGATAATTGAAAGCGAAATTTCGGAACTGAAGCGAGCCGGCAAGTAGCAACAGAAGAATCAAACAAAGGTTTATAAACATACCAGGCGCCATTATTTACGTTATTAAAACGTGAGCAGATACGAAAATCCTCAAAGGAAAAACAAAATAAACATTCCGAGTTAAAGATTTTCACGCTCAGTTAGATTGCAAGCTTATGTATGGTAATAAAAATCAAACACAGCCAACACTCGCATAGTATATAAAGTTCAGTGTTCAAAAACAAAACAGAACAAAACAGAAATGATGAAAAATATAACCACACTGGCATAATTGTTCAAATTCATACTAATCATGACGGTGTCTGAGCGAATATGATCATGCTAAGTTCATCGCGGCTCGCTCATCATGGCGATCTCCGGTCATCACAGTAAAGCAAGCCTCAGAAACTACATCGGCCGCCTTTCGAGTGAAAAAATAAGAGCTTGCTCTAATGTCCTTTCCGATACGTTGAGTGGCAATTCACATTAGTCACTGCAGCCGAGTTTTGCGGCGCTGCATCACGAGCGATCTTCATGTTCCGGTGAATTCGGCTGTCGTTCATTCAAAAAACACTCGCCTTGAACAGTTTGTTTTTTACCTTTTCATGTGAAAAAACTCGCGTGTTTTTATGAGCCATAATTCGGCTGAAGTTCACTGAACATTTCACTTCAAGATTCTGTATTAGAGACTTAAAAACTTCAGGCAAAAGTGTTAAATTCGACTTGCTGAACTATTTTAGTTTGTAAACTATCGTAGAATGTAAACTTTGATGGTTTTTGAACTTTGATGGTTTGACACTTTTGACAGCTTTAGTCTTGTACAGCCAATCAGATTATTTGAACCATTCTAAGAGGGATTCTGATTGGCTTATTGTAGCGTGCTTTATGAGAGTATAGAGCACGCTGACGACATTGTTGTTCGCTTTGGAAATAAAGTTTGTTTTGAAAATTGAAAGTAATGCTTGGGGAATTTAACAGACTCTTTATTATAAAACAAGAAGTGTAGGGAGAAACACTCGACTACGTCTCGTGTTTCTCCCTACACTTCTTTCGTGCTCTAGCCGCTTCCTGCGTGCTTTATAACAGAACAGAGCACAGTCAAGGCTTCTCTATTTGTTAATTATAGATTGGTTTATTTCGATGATTCTTGTCTGCAAATGTACGATCGACTAGAAAATAAACTTATTATCATAAAAATGATAGGTTACAAAATAATACAACCAGTTGAATGCTCAAACAATAATAAAGACAAAGACCTCTTTTTACCTGCAGATCTTAACTCAGATCGATCGTAACCAACTTATTTCTGTTAACTAAGTGATTGTTCTAAGTATTAAGTTGTTATTTCCGGTTGGCTGAATTCATTTATTTAAGTTAAGTACTATTTCGATTCAAATTTAGCACAAGACTGCAATTAAACTGTCCATATATCCCCAACCTTATTTGGATTGACCTGTGAGCTCTTCCTCGTGGATTTGTCCTTTATAGAAGACGGAAAAACGATGTTCATCTTTCTTTTGAATCGCTCTCTGATCTGCAGATAGACGAGCAACACGAAATACGGTTCTTAGCACTCGGATATTTATTGAAACACTAAAACTTAATGTTATAAAGCTAATTATCAGTTCAATGTTTTTTCTTACCTGAGTGTTTCGCATACAGTGTAGAGCGAAAATCAGGAAACCCTGAAGCATAAAAATGATTTCAAGATCATTAATGTTACAATACGCAAACAAATTAGTCAAGTACCCATCAAGATTTCCAAAAAGGAAGGAAAATTGCACATCTTATAATTGAAAAAGAAGTCTGTCATCTCTTGCATAGTTAACACCTTTTTGTTTTGAAAATTCCAAAAAAATATCATCTGACCATCCTAATGGTGTCTCACTTGGTCAGAAAGTGAAATAAATAATAGAGATTAATGAATTTTTACAGTTACCATCGAACACTGACCTGAGTAGAGTTAAGTATGGTGAAGATGTAAGCGAAAGCTTTATGTACAGGTGAGAGGAGACCGAATAGCCACGTGACACCCAGCAGGGGAATCATCACCACGCATGCTTTGATGCCAAGACTAGGAGTTAGAAAAAAACATTCTTTTACTTTCCTCTAACAATGAATTTTCATTGTTAAAAATTGTGTTGCCTTACTGATTACGGAATAAGGAGGCTAGGCAAATATAGCCCCACAGGAGGGCATGGCAATCTCTTCCACCATTTGGTTTTAGTTTTATGATGTGATTCTCACCGTATTTGCTGAAAATGGTGGTCTTCCCTTGTTGGCTGCAACAAATTGGTCATCTCCTTTATAACTCGTACAAGTATCAAAATGTTGAGCTAAAATATACAATAAAAAATAAATTGATGATTCAAATATGGATGTCGAATAGCCAAAGCAGGAGAGGATCTTTGCCAAGGAAGTTACTAGTTCGGAAATAAGCGTTGGATGAAGAGTCATTTACAGGGAGTAGAACTCTCAACCGGGAGAACGAGCTTATGAGTTTCGATCCACTACCAATGAGCAAAAGAAATCATGCACGGAAGTGTCTAAACTGAAAGAACCACGCCAAGTAAAGCCTCGTGTTGAATGATATAAATTCAATATATCCCACTTTTACTGCTACTTTTATCTTTTTCAATGTTTCCGTGAGTTATTTTTGCGTGGAGGGAAGGGGGAGAAGTTTTTTTTTTCCATACTTTGTAGTATAAGTTAGAGAATTTATGAAGCTATCTTATGCTTGTGAAGACATTTCTCCACAGGCTTTTCTCGCTATTGAAGATCATAATTAGGTTAAATTTGACTAGCATCCCCGCAAACAGCGGCTACGTCCGAAGTTTTTTTGAGAGTAGATAGGAAAAAGAAAATGGTAAATACTGTGTGTGGTCATATCATAAATACTTAATTCGTTTTGAAGAGCAGAGGAAAAAATCTTTAGCAGCAAGTAGTCCAGGTATGCTAATCACAATCACCAACACTAATCATAAACTCACCAATTCAATAAAAGCCACAAAGGCGCCGAATATCCAGATCAGGCTGTTAGTCGAGGAAAGCCAGCAACTAAACTCGAAGAAGTGAAAGACGAGAAAGAAACACAAATTGTCAGCAAATGAATCGATACCTATCACAAAATATATACCAAAAAAAAGTGCAACAAAAAAAAGAAAAAAAAAAGAGTTCAATGAAATGAATTAAAAGGAGAAGAGCAAGAAGAGACCGTTGAATTTTTTTCTTACTATTTATCACTCGTATAGCTTTGTAACCCTTCTTTCCCAACAGCGATGCCGAGTGAAATGGCCACCATGATCACTGGAAGACCTGCCCATAGAGAAAGGAAGGAGATCGAAACACTTTACTGGACGATAACACCAGATTTGGCGATCCAAAAGCATGGTTACAGTTACTAGCGCATGTTTTAAAATAATTAACTTACCCCATGAGATAACGTGAGACATGCACATCTTGGTGTTGATGTTGTAAACTTTCACAACGAAGAAGTAGAGATAAATTCCCTCGATCAGCATCCAACAGAAAGCGGCCATTAAGAAATACTGCATCAGAGCTGCTATTGTAACACAGGCAGCCTGTGAAAAGAAAGAGTTTTCGTATTCTCATCGTGCTCCTTCATTCCATGGATAGAAAGAGAGGATACTAACTTTATTTTCTATGGCGTTTATTCCGGCAAGGAAGATGATCTGTCCAGCTCCAAGGGAGATAGAAACACTCAGTCGAATTTGAGAGAGAGGTTGACGAACATCTCTGGTGAAATAATAATAATAGATTAAAAAGAATGAATTAGACAAAAGTAACAACAACATAAAGAAACAACACACTGAAGACAGTAAGCACAACCAAACACAATAAAACTGAATTAAAAGACAGCAAAATATGACTAAAACATCAAGTAAATCTTGACAGCAAAGGAAAGAAAAAAATCAATAAATAGCTCCAGAAAGGACCAAAAGGAAAATATCTAAACCCTAAAAAATTCATAAACTGTGAGACCATGAGCCGTTCAAGCACTCTTGATGGGGCATGAAACGTAGCTAGAATTTGTGAATTATCCTACTTGTACGTTCTTATTTGTGTGGAGATTTGCATTGAGATCTCTTTTCTTACCAGCCTTGGTGAGGGGAGTTAAGTATCTACCTAGTTATTATTCAGGTACATTACTTACGTGAGGCACGAATAAAGTATTAATGTTAAAAGTATCCCGAAGATGGAAAGGCTCATTCCCACGTAGGTGATAATTTTCAAAATTGTTTTGTCCTCCGCGGTGAGCTGTTACAAAAAAAAAAAAAAAAAAAAAAGGGAAAACATTGATTTAGTTAATTGTGCCCATAAAATTATTGAGTAAGGCAATAATTATTTGATTACCTTTGTGCTACCGTCGTAGCTCATTAAGATGGCAAAATGCGTCAAATGATTGCAGCTGCAAACTGTTTCTTCTAAGTTGCTTTTTGATGTAACTACATGGCATCCTTCCTCTGAAAATCCCTCAGACCTGAAAAAAAGTAAAGTTAACAAAAGGCACAAAATGATTCATTGTTTGGGGAAGAGGTGATGTTTGACAATTTTGCGCGAGAACATTTCAGTCAAACTTCCCCTCTCTAAAAAAAACAACATGTAGGCTTCCAGGAAAGTGTTAATCTGCACAAAAACATCTGAGAAAGTTTCTTCATTCTCCTCCACACTTAATTTAATATAAGAAGGAATAAATACCATACAATAATATATTGTATTTTCTTTTTTACCTTTTGCTGAAGCCACTCCAAAACATACAGCGCTTCTCTGCTGTCAAGACCTGAAAATAAATTTTATCTCGTCAAAATGAATCTAAACAACGCATAGCAACTAATTTTAATGTTACCTTAAGGTCTTTGAACTTTAGGATGACATTTTCTCGCAATTTCTCTGGCTTGGGGTCCATAGTTACGGCCATGATTCTAGAGTTGATATACCTATGAAGGAAATTGTATTTGAAAATGGCCAGAACCAAGGAAGCAACATTATACCATATTGGTAGATCCAAGCGAATTTTTCATGAAGGTGGAATGGTTAGAGACAAGTTGGTAGTCGTCCAACCTTAGTTGGCATTTTTGGAAAGTTTCTAAGTTTAGCTCAGTTGAACTTAGATCTTATGTACTTGCGTGTTATGTGTTTTTGGGGATAAACGACATGGACTGATATTAAAAGAACGTCACCTTTGGTTGTCAGTTCCACTCCTGATGGCTTGATCTTTTAGCAGTAGGTCATGCAGATCCTTGTACACAAACGCAACTACCAATGATCCTTAAACCCCCCAAGAATCAACAAAAAAAGTTATCAAACAACAACAAAAAAGCCCAAAAAAATCAAATTTTTATCAGGCTCTAAGGTATGCGACATTAGAAGGAAGGCGAATGGTTAAAGAAAATAGACTATGTAAACTAATGAAGCGCATTTATATAAGGCTTTATTTCAATACAGAAACTTCGTTCGGAGAAACCAAGGAAATTAAAAGTTATAATGTGAAAAGGCTGGTTAATACGAACCATTTTCCTTAAAATTTGAAGATGCGATATCGATTCTCGTTCGCCATCTCTTTTCCTCAAAGTGGAAGCCACTCGTATTCTGGCGATAGGCTTTTTGAATGACCAAAACTGTCGGAAAAAACAAAGTAAACTTAATGACGTACACATAAAAGCACTTACTGTGAAGTTTACAATAGCACATATAAACAAACATAACGTGCTTTTTGTAATATGTTTAATCTTTAGTGATGTTCCAGCGAATTAAACTATTTTTAAACCGTTTTTTCAAAGTTAAACTGATTAAAAGTGAGTGGTACTGCACGGACTAAAATTGTGAATACTCATCTCATCTCTCCCGGCGTGTTTCGATGCGTTTAGGAGGAGTTCATTAGGGGATTTTTACGGGTACGGTTAAAAAATTTGCATTTATATGCATCGCAGACGATATGTCAATTTTGAGTTCAGTGCATAGGATGAAGTAAGCGGAAAGTATTTCGGAGATTTGATAATTCCAGTTATTTGCTCACCAAACTAATATTTACGGAAAGTTTCAATAAATAGAGCGAGAAGATGAAAATTTTGAAGCATTCCTTTTTCTCTCCTTAATTGTTCACCGCAAAATATAAAAATATTGAACAAATTAAAAAAACCGATGAGTCGATGAAATTCAGCAATGACGTTTCTGATAGGTTGGGTTGATAACTGAGTTCTTACATCTTCTAGGAAACTAGACAACTCAGTCGATCAGTTAGTCAGTTAGTCAGTAAGTAACAGAGGAATAGACTTTAAAACTAAACAGGATTGAAGGCCGCAACCTCACCCATTTTTCGGAAAACAAAACTTTTTGAAGGCCTCATTCCACTCAGGTGTCGCTTGCTATAATTAAGAGCAAATTTCTCGACGGCCTCTGCCACCTCAAAGATGGATTTTTGTAGCGTTTTAATGTCTCCAATGGCGTCCTTTGTGACGTTCTTGATTTTTATGGTAAAATCTTCGAACACAGTTACAGCCTCCTACAAGTACATAAAATACGACCAGCCAATCTCAAATATACAATTTATAAATTAAGAATGCGGAAAAAGTCTAGCAGCAGGTCCTCAATGCTGTCTTGGGTATTTATTGGCTCAAGAACTCTTTTAGGAACCTGGATTATTTCTAAACCTCACTATTTTCACCTCATGTGGCTTGAATGGTGGTTTATCCTTAAAGGTCAGATATTTAGTTTTTATGGTTTTAGAAACATATATCAAAGCTAAAAGCCTTTAAGTTGTGTAAGTTAAATACCTGTATGGAACTCTGTCTGGTAATATTTATTCCGTCAAATTTTGAAACATACTCATCTGCCTAGAATAAAAAATAATGTCTATCACAATTGTAAATAAGGAGGATCCTGAAAAGCGACATGCAAAAATACGGTAAATGACTATCTAGAAAACATACCAGCTGCTCAACTGGAGATGACGAAGGCGACGACGACGGCGATGGCGACGGCGAAGGCGAAGGCGAAGGCGACGACGACGGCGACGACGACGGCGAAGGCGACGGCGACGGCGATGGCGACCGCGAGGGCGAGGTTGCATGTGCTATTTCACGTGATGGTGAAGGCGACGAAGTTACTGTAGACATTGAGGAATCTTTAAAGAAAAATGTGGATCAAGACCGCATTATGTCATATCAAATCGCCCCTGTGGTGCCTGGAAAATACCACGCAAATCACAAAATATGCACCTGTATTAATTGTTAAACCTCTGAATATGACGTTTTCATTTTTTACTTTATCTTGAACAATTTCCGATGAATTTACGGCCTCTTCTTGGTTTTTTTAGTTTAACCTTGATCGTCTTGCTGAGAAAAGGTTTAATTCAGCACTTTTATTTGAATAATTTGATGAATTTGTTAATTAAGGCATAACGAGAGAAAATGATTAGGAGGCTCCTTGTCCAGGCCTTGAAACATGTCAATTTCGCAGCTAGGTTTTCTTAGACATTCGCATTAAAGCCAGGATCTATCTAATCTTTTGATGTAATGACTACTAAAAATTTCTTCGCGTGAGTTAGTTTCTTCGCGTGAGTTAAGTTTTCAATTTAAAAAAGGCGGGACATGTTTTCTCTCAAGGAAAACGAAACGCATAACGCAAAGCGAAACTTTAATCTCGCAAACATAACATCATTAGCGAAAAGTTAGTAAAAAAAGTGGATCTAGCCTTCTAGCATATTTAGTTTTCGTGTCACAACGGTTTCGTGCTCTGAATGGGCTTTATTTCTCCTTCTCAACCCATACTCACGCAACCTTCTCTTTAGAGTCCTCAGGTTCATACAAATATCATGGTATTAAAAAAAAAAAAAAATGAACAATAGTATCATAACGAAGTCCTCTTTCAAAGTAATGTTCAGCGGTAGATCTCTCATCTGACGAACTGTGTAACACATTTTCCAGTTCAGGTCTCTTTAATGTTCCACATCAACGTCAGAATAGCTCATTGCTCACAAATTCTTATCCACATTTGTGGCAGAACATCGCAATACACTTGGTACTGTTTAGTCCGTTCGTGTAGTGACTCCAAGTCAAACTAGTGCAACCTAATGCGACACGATGTGCTGTATCGTGACAAAGTGCTTACTACTGGCGCAAGTGTCACGTGACAAAATATTTTTCTCGATTTGCGTAAATTTTTTGAAAAGATGTTTGGATTGTAAACTATTTTCGATTTTCATGAAAGTTATTTGTGGATCTTTGAATTAAACCGACTTTGAAATTGTTTTCTCGTTTTTACAAAATTTTCAAAAGCGACTTGTCTAAAAGATATCGATTCTGAATATTTTTTCGGATTTGCAAATATTTTTGGATTGTCCTTTTTCAGCTTCCGTACAATGGGCTGTACGTCTGTGTTCAATTTTGTCCGCAGAGCTCGGACATGTCATCTTGCCCTCTCTCTCGCAGCTGGTTACGGAACAATTTAGATTGCATATGCCATCAGGGAAAGTGCAATTCTGTACCCATCTCCTCTTACCATGTGTAAGTGTGCAGGGTATTCCAACGTAATCTCGATAGTTGATCCGGGATGAGTTTTCCCTGATAGCTGAAAAAGATGCAAGACAATCTTTCCATAGCCTGTTCCGGGTTTTCAGCCAGTAAAAGGTAGCGTGATAGTAGAAGTCGGGAAGGAAGTGGTCAAACGAAAAATTTGTGTCAGCTTGCGTATCGCATGCGTTCGTTACGCGACCGGATCCAGACCTCCCCTTTTTTTTCGCGCTGCCGTTACAATTACGTCGTCAACTATCGCGCTCCGGCCGTTTCACGAAAGAAGCGTCTAGAGAGTCTTATTTCTCAAAAAACGTAAAAAATATACGAATTGGTCTATGCTGAGCAGTAATACGATGAAATACAACAATTACTCAAGTACATCATGACAATTTTACCACAATTAAAAAATATGATACTCGTGCCGCCCAAAAACCCGCCGAACAATTTTTTTCAACATTAATAGTGCATGCGACAAGAAAGTTGAAAGGTTCCTCGATGCTAACTCGCCAACACAGTTCATTTTGGAGGCCGACTTAGCTCGATTTTTTTTTAAAAATTGAAGAACTGATTGAAAGAGTGAGTTCTTTTTATACCTTTGTCCATTAGTTAAGTAAAAAGAATTTCCCTCAAGTTTGTGAAACATAAGAAACATTGCTGCACATGCACACGCGCAGTTAACAGTTACACTTGGACATTGCTGTGTACTCTGTGGCGTGGTGACACTTTCCCTATGCGAGGTTCTTTTTACAATGTAGTATACAGATGTAATGTGTTCTTACCTTTTGGCATTTCACAAATATATGAAGTGTCTTCTCCGCAGTGGAATTGATTTGAAAAGTGGCCATTTTGGTTCTTCGTGACTAACGTGGCCCTATTTCTGCCCCCACTTGGTTGGTCTCCCCATTTAAAAAAAGTCGGTGGTCTTCCACTCAACCAGGTCCAACTCCCGTTCTCTCTTACCAAACCGATGTGCCACCTTTGTTCATTGGTGTCTTTAATCTCATTAACGATAAGGTCCAATTCTTGTTCGGTTTCAATGGAAACTAAATCCCCACCGTCGGCCCTGCAAAAGCTTCTGCTCTCGTTCCATGTTTTTCCCAACGTACAAAACTTGTAGTGGGAACTTTTAAAACAAGCAGTTGGGCTTTCTACAGATTACAGTAGAAAACAAAAAAAAGCATTTGAAAACGAACTCTTGAAAACATGAAATTAACGTAGTCACTCTACTTCATATCTACGTGTATATAAAGAGCAGAACGTAAAGACATTTTAACCAAGTTTCTGTGTCTCGTACATCTGTTATGAATCGAATCTTTTCCTAGTTAAAAATAAGCTCGATATCCAGTCTTAAAGTATATTTCAAACCTTTTTCACTTTAGTCTCCCATATTAACCTCAGGTTTGTGGTGGTTCTATGGTTAAAGCTGCAGCTTTATTTCTTCTAATTCAACGACTTGTAAATGTAACAGAACCATACCCTCCCCTTCTTTGGGCCAAAGGTTATTTGAGGTGACACATATATACCAAAATCGCAGCCCTACCTCCTCTCACGGATTTCATCATCAAAGTCTGGATCGCTGAAGTACGAATATGAAAAATAAATCCATTTTATTTTTTTCATGGAAATCTACTTTTCATGTTATCAGATTCACCAGTTTGCGTTGCAATTGCCGATGTTTGAGGGGGCATAAGTCTGTTATTTGTTGTTGTCTAAGGAAATTCACAGAAAAGTACTACAATAAACTAATTAAAATTTATAGTCAAGTATTTCTCTCCACCTCTTGAGTGCACTAGCTGCTTCTTACGTGCTTCATAACAGAACAGAGAACATTCAAGGTTTCTCTTTTAATAAAGAGTTCGTTATATTCCCCACTCATTACAGTCAATTTTCACTAAAGGCAATTTCCAACAAAGGGAATAACAGCGTCTTCAGCATGCTCTATACTCCTATAAAACACGCTATAATAAGCCAATCAGAATCCTTCCTAAAATAATCTGACTGGTTGAACAAGTTTAAAGCTTTTAAAAATTTCAAACCATCAACGTTCACAATCTGCAATAGTTCACAAACTGAAATACTTCGGCAGGTCAAATTTGACATTTGCCTGAAGTGTTTCAGTCTCCATGCAGAATCTGAAAGTGAAATATTCAGTGAAATCCGGCCGAGTTGTGACTAACAAAAACACACAAGTTTTTACACATGACAATTAGAAAAGAAACTGCTCAAGGGATGTGAATGGACGACAGCCGAATTTACAGGAACATGAAGATTGCTCGGGATGACAGCGCCGTAAAAGTCGACTGATGAGACTTGCACTGAATCTGATACCGTCATGATTTGTATGAATTTTGACAGATATGCCATTCATTATTTATGTTTTATTATGCTTTGTTTTTGAACACGAAACCATATGGCGCTCGGCATGTTCACAAACCTTTGCTTGGTTCTTCTGTTACTAATTGCTGGCTCGCTTGTTCCGAAATTTCACTTTCAATTAACGAAAGAGAGCTACAGAGAAGTCTGGGAAATGAGCGGACACAGTTCAAGTTGGTATATGGAGTGACAGCTTTAACTCTGTGTTTTGTACTCTGATAAAGAACTATCTTTTAACCAAAGAGAACGCGCGTTATAGCCAAACTTTATGGAAAATTTGCTTTACTAGCTGCAATGCGGTAGCGGTTCTATTTTTTTCATACAAACTGACAAAATGCGTTTTCATGCTATTTTGAATTCATAATCTGCTCCATATGACAGGAGGGCATAATTCATTGACAACCCAATTTTAATTCATTGAATTCGGTGTCGGTGGCGGATACCTATTAAAGGAACCTCGGAATGTTATGCAGAAATTTGACTGTGAGAGGAGGTGTCTGTCATAGGATATGAATGAATATGAATGCTGTTTTTAATTGTTTTAATTATGTGATTTAACACATCTTAAATGCTTGTTACTTTCTCATCGTTTTTTTTTTTTCGTTTTTTAAAATGTCATATTTATATGTTAATTTTTCTAATTAACAACGACTAAAAAAAAGACTTCGGAGAGGTCGGACCGCCGTTCCTTTTAATTTTTTTGTTCCAAATCTACATAAAAAAATTTATGTCATCGTTTATCGATCTAGGTAGCTGGAAAGGATGTTTCAGCGTTAGAAAAGAATGGAAACAGTCCACTAAATTATAAATTTGACTCAAAGTCAGAATAAAAACATAGGTAAGATATTTGAGGTGGGAGGGTGGATAAAACATCTACTACTCTAATTTTCTCCAAACCCCGCGTCAAACTGTTGTTAAACTTTGCATCTGTTTAAGCTTTTAGGAATTCAAGTTGAACCAATTTATAACATTCGCTCCCTAGGAAAAAAAAATTATAAAAAAGAATTGAAAGCGAACGTTTTCATGCGCCGTTTTGCGCAAAGGATAGGATAGCAACAGAAATATTTTGTCCTTTCATCTCAATTAAAGCTGCTTAAAGCTGTTTGACACACCGCCATGACGGTGTAAATTACAGTGACTGCCGCACGAATGTGCCATTCCGGCTTACTTTTTCCCAACTATTTTGCATCGTACGGAAAGTGGATAAACACCAAAAAACTGCTGCTAAAAACATGTGATAATCTGGAAGCCTATAGCATATATCTGTAGAGCTTGGAACGTTTTGTCATTAGAATGCCAAATAAAAACAACATGAAATAAATTTAAAGGTTGGATTTGCCGGCGTGTCGCGGGAAGTTCTTCGGTCGATATGAATTTTTGCAAATGGATGGTCAAGTCCTTGTGTTTCATTGCTTATGATACACTAACAGAAATATTAACGGTAGTACTTACCTAGCGCGCAACGTATGAAAAGGGTGTTTGCCATTTTCCAGGATTCAGTTTCACTCTTCACTAAGCCCCAGATATGTATAAGTTGCTGCGAGCAGCTGTCGGCAGACGAAAGTTATTGTATCCACGCCGGGTCAGCGGGTGGTCAAAAAAGGCATCAAATTGTCTTTAAATATGGCGCCCGAAGCCAAAATTGCCGCGAGAAGACTGGGGCTTAGATTATTTTTGCATAAAAACACGGCTCTTAATGCATTCTGGGATACATAGACGAAACGTGGTTCGGTCGATAGCTGAACTCGAGAGCTTTCTTTCGATACCAAACTCGAGTATTTTTGGCCTGCTTTGGGGTGGGTTGCCAGGCATAGGAGGGGGATTTGACTTCACAAGTCTGCCCGTGGTAGGGACTTTTGATCATTCGTTGAGTTCTTTTGACCAACAATAATGCTCCTGGAGTGAGGAATTTGCACTTTTTTGACCCAGGGTGACTTCCCTAGGGCTGGGCATTTGAACAGAAAAACTAATCTGAATTCAAATCCCCTGCTTATTCCCCTCCCCCCACCCCCCTAGGAGCTTAACATTGATAGGTGCATAAGCTTATAAAGTGTGAATGACCAAACTATATTTTATACAATTAAGCTTAGCGATAAATGAAATTATGGTTAATTTAACTTTTTTATATATACATAAGCTTATATTGTATTCTTTTATTTACAGTGTGACTACTCCAACCGAGGCCACCGGACAAAATTCTCCACAAATTTAACGAATAAAAATCAAGGAGGTTAACAATAGTTTCCAACAAATTATCCTTGTAATCATGCTGTACAATACAAGGCAACAGAATTGTAGTCATTTGTTGGAAAATTATTGTCAACCTCCACGATACTTAGTCTTTTAATTTGTAGAAAATTTTGTCAGTTGGCCTCAGTTAGAGTAGTAACACGTAAGTTTAGGTATTCATTTCTTATTTGTTGTGTTTAAAGGTTGATGATACAAGGGGAGTGCTAACTGCTTTAACAAACCAAAATGAGAATATCCAGGTCGGTCACCAAATTAATGTTAAGCTGATGGTTGGGATATATTAGCTTTGTGACAGGACTGACAAATTTGAAAAATTATGCCTTACCTTGGGAAATATTGTGTATGAAATGCACTTGAAATTACTCATTGTCAGAGAAAAGGCAGTGCTGAGAACCAAATGGACCTGAGCAAATATGGGATCTGACATGCTGGGCCAAATCACTCCTCCAAGGGATCATGAAAGCAGAAACAAATCTTTGCTTGTCACAATGTTGTGGTCTTAAATGAAATACCTGGCAAAATACAAATGAGATTACATAATTCATGCATAGTATATGGGTGCAAAGCAAAAGATTTGCACGGTAGGGGAACGGCACAGTGAGGGACTGTAGTTATTTTTATTTGTTTGCCCAGCTTGTTTTATTTTATTTTTGTTATTTTGTTGTTTTACTTTATCTTATGTTATGTTATTTTCTTTTCCTTTCTTTTATGTTGTCTTGTTGTCTTATTTTATTTTTATTTTATTTTGGTTTATTTTATTTGTTACATGTAGCTCCCAATAAATGTCACATCCATGGGTGACTATGTATTCATTCACAGCCAGGGACATGTGTATCACCTCCTGGTAGCCGCACAAGACTTCCCACTTGTCTTGTGGAAGGAACATCAAACCTACCACTTTGTACAGCAACTAAGAGACGTCATGAGACATTGGTGGCTGCAGCAAGAATCCATAGTGATTCAGAAAACAACCCAACAACTGCCTTAGATGGCATGTTTGACACTTTAAACAAGCATTGTAAATTAAATACAATGAAAGATTATGTTTTAAGTAATGATAAGTTAAGAGATAAAGTAGTGTCTAATGTTTATAAAGGGAATGTGAGATCTTTTGAAAACTCACCCACAAATGTTAAGAGGATTATTGCCACATTTTACAGCAGTGGTATTATGGGTAAAAGAAAATATCAGGCCACAGCGAGTTGCTTTGTCAATGAAAAAGAGTGAGAAAGAAAGGGGAAAGAGATCAAGCATCAGTATCATGCCAAAATGTCCCATTCCAAAATTGCTGACTTACAATAATCTTGTGAGGGAAATAAGAAAAATTGATATTGGGAATGTGTATTCAGTTGAGGATTATATTCAAGAAGCATCAGAAGATGATACTGTTCGTGGTTGTTTTCGAAAATTGGAAGAGTTTTTGCCACACCTTGCACAGTTTTACTTAAGAAGGGATAAGAAAGAATCAATAAAATGGTTTGGTAATGCGGAGGGCACATTCCTTGTTGCCCTTGGTGGCGATGGGTGCCCTTTTGGTAAGAAGGAAAGTGCTTGCACATTTTTAGTAAGTTTCTTAAATGTTGGCAAGAGGGTTGCCTCCAGTAATGATAATTTTATTATATTCGGTGCCAACTGTGAGGAGTCTTGCCCTGTGGTTAAAAAGTATGTGCAGCTCTTATGCCAAGAAATTACTAACCTGGAGGGAAAGGTTTTTGAAATTGATGGTCTCAAGGTTACTCTTAAATTTGAAGAAGTACCTAATGACATGAAAATGCTTGCTATGTTGGGGGGAGAGTTATCAAACAGTGCCAAGTTCTTTTCCTCGTTTGCAAATGTATCAAAAGAAAATTGTTCAGATTTAAAGGGTACATTTGCAACTAATGGTGGAACCGTGTGGCATCCTTGGAAATATGAAGAAAGAATTGCAGTTGCTAACCAAGTTGACAAATTTAAGCAGTCTTTGTCAGCTAAACAACTCAAAGAAAAGCAATTTCGAACTAAGGTAACAGATTTCATCTCAAAGAAAAACAGTCGCCAGGAATTTGTCCCATTGATTGGCAAATTGATAGAGAAAGCCCATGTGGAGCCTCTCCATGTTAAGAACAATGCATGGCAGTACTTTTTTAAGGTGTTAAAAGAGGTTATTGAAAAGTCTAATCTTCTGGTGCATGCAAGAAGTTTAGTGATGTCCCAAAGGATAGCGCCTTGTCACGAGTTCTAACTGTCCTTAAGTATGAAGTTAAAGCCAAATGCCTTGCTAGAAAGGTTATCAAATGGTATGATGAAACACAGGGCACTGGTCAGGATTTGCAGTACCGCCTTACGGGGAAAGAATCTAGACTGTTTTGTCATAATTTCATGTGGTTGGTCAAGTGGCTTAGCAGTGAGAAAGACTCTAAACGTCAGAGGCAAACAGTTTTGATCTATGCTTATGTTGGGCTAAAACTAAGGGATTGTGTGTCCATTTTTACTAGGTTTGATATCACTGCTGGACAGCTGAGCCAATTGGCTGTTGTTGCAAGGGATTATTTTCGTGCAAATGCTTTATTTCTGCCTTCATCAGTCAATCCCATTGTTTGGACAATAGGGCACATCATACCCAGCCATGCACAAGATGTCCATAGGAAATACAAGCAAGGATTGGGAACTGTGACAATGGAAGGGAGGGAGACCAAACACATAGCTCTGAAGAAACTAAGTGAGAATACAACTTTTCAGCAACGGTGGCCTGAAATTTTTAAACATGAATTTGTCATGTTGATTTGGCTGCCAGAACAGGGATTTCAGCTAAATACTTACAAACACAATGCTGTTTACATTCCAGCCAGGATTTTTGAAAATTCTGGATGCTGTTACTGTAATCTTGAAAAAGCAGACCCTGCAGAAAGCAAGTGTACTTTTTGTAGTGACCTGTTGATGAATGTGATTCAAAGTAGTATTGACCAAGGAAAGGTCTTGTCACAAATGACATGTTGAGGGCCTCAAAGGAAAAGCTTCCTGCTTAAAAAAAAAGGTTCTGTGATTGAACCAGATCAATGGTGCTTAAATCCATAGGTATTTTATATGGATTAATTCTGTATTGGCCCATTTCAGTTGTAAAACAGTGAAATAAGTTGTCACAGAGTTGTAATGTTTTCATAGTTCTCAACAATTGGTAGTGTGTCTTAAGCAATGTAATTTTTGTTATTTACATGTTGAAGCATTTGATGCTTAAATCCATTCTTGTTAAGAGAAATCTTAACCCTTAAGTTATTAGGCATTTTATATGGATAAATTCTGTATTGGTCCATTTTAGCGGTAAAACAATGGAAAGGGTTGTCACAAAATTGTATTGTTATGCATTTTCTCAACAATTGTTAACATATCTTTAGCAATGGGACATCTGTTATTTCCACCTTGAAGCATTTTAATAAACACTAATGAACCTGTTTAATGATACTATACACTTGTGTGCTTATACTAAACAAGGGTTGATCTGGTGGATGCACCTGTTTGTTTGTTGCATCGGGTGTGTATCAATAGTACACATTTCTGTTCAGACACTAAGTTAGAGTACATGTGCCTAAGGGAGGCTCGTAAGTGTTTTTAGTAATTTCCAGCCCCTACATTTTGATGGGTCACTTACTGCCACAGTATTGCTACAAAACAAATGTCCAATCATTACTCAAAACTAAAGACAACATCTGTTCCATAAGGGTTAGCAGAGCATCAGAATGATCTGTTCAAAAGCCCTTAATTTAAGCTTTTAGGGCTATTAGTTCAAAAATGAGTTTAGTGAGTCCTATTTTTTACTCTTGATTTACAATCAGCATGTCATGAAACAACATTTGGCAAAGTCTAAACAAACTTCTGTCAGAGTGGTTGAAAGCAACCTTCAATTTCCAAAAACTTAGGGTGGTTCTGAACTACTCTGACAAGCTTTTAAAAACTTTGTCAAGACTTGTAGCATGACATGATCATAATTCAGTATAACAAATGGAAGTCGTCAACTCAGTTTTGAGTTATAAGCATTAAGATGGAAAATCACAAATGTTTTTAACGATTTTTATTGTTGCTATGATAACCCTAATTGGCAAGAAAATTATCACAACTTGTGGAACAATAATTGGGCACTGTCAGTTGCTAATCATTATTGTAACAATAACTGATGAAGGTTGGAAGTATTAGCCCTTCGAACAATAAGTACAGGATGGTGTCAAGTTGTGTATTTCAGTCAAGTTTGAAAGGAATAACCATGTTCATTTGTGAAAAGCTAGTGGCACTTCACTATCAGATGTTGTTTCCGCTTCATATATGTCAGTACAAAAGGCTTATCCAGCTTGACTATAACCTTGGCGTTTCCTTTCCTGGGCGCTTTAGTTTGCTTGCAGAGGTAAGACATGACGTCTTCTCGGGAAGTGTTGCACAACTTTGAAAAATCTCTCAAAAGTCCGGTCTCCTTAGAGTAAGAAAGCTGACATGCCACATCTGTTGTTGTATGTATTACGCCAAAAGCAGAGGTAGCCTTCTTTACCACTTCCATAACGGAGAGAAAAATTTCTTCGGGCATGTCCCTCGTAAAAGTTACCGTCCACGGTTCTCTAGCTTTCATTCGAGCTGTTAGGCGTCTGTACACAGACTTAAGCGACATAGAAATTTCCGCTTCGATGACCGAACCGACTTCTGTTTGTGAGCGGCAAACTTTTTGAAACACATCTTGCCCACTACGGTGTTTTTAAAAAACTGACGTTATAATCTCTCACACTTCTTCTTCAAACTGAAAAAAATTTTCTACTTTTCCACGCAAAGGGCGAAGGGCATAAACAGCCCCTTTTATCTCATCCGTGGCCGCCATTCTGTAAAGCTTAGCGACCATTCTTAGCTTCTCTGTAAGTAAACCGCTGAACTCAGAGGAGATTAAAGCGGGCGGCAAGTTGCTATTTGGCGATGCTCCCTTACCCGGCGTGATCCGGGAGCAGTAAATAAAAGGCGATTTCTTCAGGTATTTAAAACTCTTTAGTAGGAGCTAGAATAAATGTAAATTATAAAACGCGGTCGACAGTTCATGACATGAGTCATCATTTTTTTTTTCACTTTTCTTAACAGATAGACTAATAGACTGAAAGAAACTTGCACCGGGTGTAAGGCATTGGTTTTCTTCATAAGATCGAGAATTTCACGAGACAAAAACGCATATTATTTTCAAATTTTATGAAAATGCAGTTAAAAAAAAGTTATTTATGAACAATGAAGTTATGGGCTCCACGATAGATAGATAACGACAGTTTTCTTGAACAGATTTCTGTATTATTCACTGGTGGCTAACGTGGGTGTCCTATCTGTTCGTACAAATAAACGAAAATAATGTCTTTGTTTTCAACTCGCAGATGAAATGCTGCCGTATCAGTCGATGGGTCTAACCTCGTATGTCATTAATTCTTCGCACATGTATTAATTAACATGTATTATCTACTGTGGAAAACCCCGTGTCAGAGGATGCCTTCTTAAAGCGTGAGTTAAATATAGCTTTCATAGGGTTGATCGTCAATTGGACAGAAAACCAATGGCGCTTCACGACTTATAGTCAAGCCCTCAGCTTACAAAACAAATCCCTCCTCCCACCCTTCCCCCCTTATACGGTAAAAGCGTCATGAAGACCATCGCCTCTGAGTCCATCTCTTTGAATGCTAACCTTTTCCATTCAGGTCTAAGTTCCAGTCTAGGCTCAGTCATTGTCATGTGTCTGTGGGGAGGAAAATCCCTTCCCCAAGGGTCTCTCTCATTACCATCTATAGTGTTCACCCATAATATAATTGCAAGATGATTCTCAGAGTCCTTAGTCTCATCCGCAATGTATTGAGTCAGTGGCCACTTGAAGCGTTTATACCTACCATATTTGACCGGTGTAGAGGAATAATTTCGTGCATTTCAGAATCATTTCCTTTGTTTACTTTCTTCTTAAGAAGTATGTTAGTGTCAGTAGCTTTATATACTTATTTATAAACGGGTATGACCTTATAATAGAATGTTGTCGATTGTTTAGTCGTGTTTCCATTAGCTGAGCTTATGCAAGGCGTTCGCGCTTATCACGTTGCGGCATAAACTGAGCTGGAAAAAGACTGCTCAAATATCCCTTAATCTCTTTGCAGTGCTCGAGGCCCATTAAGGAAAAAGCCTTGAAGGATAAATTTTTGCAATTTGAAAGATAATACTTAAGTTGTAACCTATGCTGTGAGTGCGTCAATTCCTATGGTGACTATTTCTCTTTGCCCCTTTGAAAGTAGGGGAAGAAATGTACGTATACTATTTTTATCCGATTCTATTTTTTTCTAGTCACATGTCAAAACCATAATATTGTTCAAGAAGTGTTCACAAGAACAAGAAACACATTAATTTGGAGAGATGCAATAGCATATGTCTCACTTGTATTGACATTTAGAAACGGGGCTCATTTAATTAACTAACATATCTATTACTGCGCTTCGTTCCTTTAAATTGTCTACTGTGTGCAATTTTTCTTCGATCGCTGTGAAATGAAGTTTTCTCCAATTTTGGTTACTATGGCTCCGATTGCAAATATCAGAACTCATCGATACATTTACGATTCGAAATAGAAATACTTATCTAAGGAATGTGGAGAATAAAGATTGAAAAATTCAAGTGATGTTTAATCCTTGACTCCCATGAGTGACCAAGACGTAATTTCTCCTTACAGTATCAATACAATATCGATCAGACAGGTTATGAGAATAAAGAAAAATTTAAGTTTGAGGATTTTCTAGCTGACCCAGTTCCAAATTCTCAGAAGTAGCACCTGAGAGTTGTATGGCAGACAGTGAGGAGAGTTAGAAATGAGATCTTAGGCATTAAAGGGTTAAAATATGTAATCTCTCAGAATTTCTTTCTTTTTTAACATAGTTATTTATTCATTAACTCAGCATCATCTATCTATTCATCTGTTTATTCATAAATAATAACATTAGATGTTGGACGAGGCTACTTATATTACAGTAACAAGGTACTGTTTGACAAGTATCCTCTCCGATATGAAACGTGAAAGCATCATGTAGCAAGCGTTAAAATGTAGCGCACGAGGATTCAAAGAAGGCAGTCAAATGCGTGTTGGAACTAAACGCGGTGTTAATTAAAGAAGAATTTGTAATAATTTCATGCCATGAGTTCATTGAACTTCTAAAGTAGATGTAATCTTTAATGAAAGTCACTTAATAACAGACAAGCCAGACCAACCTGTAGTTACGATAATTTGATCCTTAGTGAGGACAACTTAGCATGTAGCTAACAAAAGATCTTTAGCAAGTTCATGTATGCAATGTTCTGGAAAGGCCATTAAGATAAAAAATAGCACTTGCAGCTGGTGAATTGCTAAAAACAATAAACAAGAGAACAATCTCACTTAATAATGATAAAATAATAATAATAATACTAATAATAACAATAATAATTATTATAACAATTTATTGACAGTATTTCTACTCGTTAGCTCTACACCCGTCCTACCAACTAAAAACTAGCGACTTACATAATGCATAATGCATTTAATGTTAATTTACTTTTACTACATTGCATTTTAACAGCAGATTGAAACTCAGATCGATCGCCATCGACTAATCGCTATTTACTACACAATTGTTCAATGCAATAGAATGTTATTGGCGGACAGTTAAATCCATTGACTTAAGTATAGTGCTAATTCGGTTTAACGTCACCGCGAGGCTGCAATTCAACTGGCCGTGCATCGCCGACGTCACTTGAATTGACCTGTGGGCTCTTCCTTATGGAGTCCTCCTTATTTGAAGTGGTAAAAACCACATTCATCTTTCTTTTCAATCGCTCTCTGATCTGCAGATAGACAAGCAACAAACGATACATTTTTTTCAAAGTTCATTCAAAGAGTTATTCATGCTTAAACATTTGTGCTATAATGTGCACTTTCCTTATTCTTGACTTAGTTTTCTTTTCTTACCTGACTGTTTCGTAAGCCGTGTAGAACGAAAATCAGGAAACCCTGTTGCAGAAACATAATTTCAAGATCATTTTTTTTACAATAATGCACTTAGGTAGGAAGCGGCGGAGTGTGCGTTGTTTGGGTATCTCAGTGAACAATGCATATAATAATCGTCTTCAAGAATCAATATCTAATAGGTCTAACAAGACTGCTACGAATATATTTCGGGTCAAGAAAATAGTTAACAGGTTTTTAATTTTTTTTAATTTTTTTTGTATCATCTAATCATTGTAAAGGGTTCTCTCTTCGGTTAGAGTTGTGTAAATTGAACAATGTAGATTGATTGGGTTTAAGAGTTTCAATCAGACACTCACCTGAGTAGAGTTGAGTATTGTGAAAATGTAAGCAAAAGCCTTTTGTATAGGCGAAAGAAGACCAAACAGCCACGTGACACCCAGTAAAGGAATCATCAGTGCGCAAGCTTTGATACCAATTCTGAGATCGACAACAAAATTGAAGGTGCATGCATAAGGGTTGATAATTTTTTTTCGCAGTCTCATTTACAGGTATCGTAATAGCAAACTGTTCAAGGGATGAGGGAGCCGGGCGAACGTTGCCGTACCTACAGCTGGTTAAGGAAATTTGTTTTCATTATTCTGAATAATTTCATGTTGTGAATCCTACCGTATTTGCTGAATATGGTCGTCTTCACCTGTTGGCTGCACCATATTGGTCATCTCCATTATGACTCGTACGAGTATCGAGATGTTGACCTATAAAAAATGCCATTAAAATCACTGAATTAAGTTTCTATATTTGGTAGTCGAGAAGCCAAGAGAATCTTAGTAGAGAAGTTATTTGTTTAGTTTAGGTCGAATAAAGAAACATAGTGAGTCCTATAGGAAAATAGTGAGTAACTAGTTCGGTAAACCAAGCACCGTGAAATAAATTAATCATAAACTCACAACTTCGATGAACGTTACAAAGGAGATGAATATCCAGATCAGATTGTTGGTCGAAGACAGCCAACAACTAATAAAATTGAAAGACAAGAATGAAAGTCATCAGAATGAATTAAAAAAAAAGACCCAAGGAAAAACGGAACAAGAAAAATAAAACGAACCTAACTTGATAGTGCGCGAGAGAGAGAAGAAAGGTAAAAAGTAACCTATTGATGTGTTTCTTACTATTTATCACTGACATAGCTTTGTATTCCTTCTTTCGCAGCAGCAATGCCAAGTGAAATGGCCATCATGATCACAGGGAAACCTACCCATAAATACAAAAAAAAAATTCAAAGCACTTGACTTGATGACAACACCAAATATGAGAGCACGGTACTACCTCCAATACATGTTGTAGTAAAATAAGTCATGGAAATACCCCATGAGATGACGTGATACATATGCATCTTGGTGTTGATGTTGTAAACTTTCACAACAAACAGGTAGAGGTAGATTCCCTCGACCAGCATCCAGCAAAAGGCAGCCATCAGGAAATACTGCATCAGAGCTGCTACTGCGATACAAGCAGCCTGCAAAAGGAAATATGTTTTTTTTGTTTTTTTTGTTTTTTTTTGTTTTGGGAGAAAGATTTGATTAATTAAATGAAAAGATCGGAGAAGCCTCTCACCGTGTGTTCTGTGGCGTTTACTCCTGCGAGAAAAATTAGCTGTCCAACTCCGAGGGACACAGAAAGACTCAATCGAATTTGAGACAGAGGTTGACGGACATCTCTGGTGAAATGAAAGATGACGAAAAAAAAGGAAAAACAAAAGCCACACATGAGTACAAAAAAACAAACATAATCAAAACAAAAATAATTCAAATGAAAAGTTAAGCAAAAAAAGAAAAACCAACCAAAACAAAACAAACACCAAAAAAAATAAAGTCAATCAAAAGCTTCAGAATCAAAAGACAAATAAAAAGCCAAGTTAGTATAGAATAAGAAAACATCAAGGACTGAGGAAAGAGACCATGCATTGTTAATGCTCTTCTAATTGAACATGAAATGTAAAGTAAATTAGTTATTCAATCGACTTACTTTACCTTAATTTCGGAGAGATTAAAAGGAACATTTTGGATAACTTAAAGTTACGTTTATTCCTTAGTTTTTTTTTCCTTTGTTGAGAAATTACAATCGATAGTAATTAGAAGAAGACTTGAGAATGTGTTCTTCATCCATTATTTAGCCATCATACTTACGTAAAGAAAAAGTACAAGGCTGATGTTACAAAGATCCCGATGATCGACAAGCTTAATCCTACGTAGGTAATTATCTTTAACACAGTCTCCTCCTGTTTGGAAAGCTGCGTCACATAGCATAAAAAAAGAAAATAGAGACACGTGAATTAGCTCAATCAATTTACATGTATTACCAGTGCTGGAATAAGAACATACATATAATTGGTTACCTTTGTACCATCGTTGTAATCTAATAATGCAGCAAAATGAGTCAAATGATTGCAGCTACAAACTGTTTCTTCTGAATTGCTTCTCGACGTAACTACATGGCATCCTTCGTCTGAAAATCCGTCGGAGCTGCAAAGGAAGCATAACTTCAGCAGGCAAGACGTAGTGTAGGAAATAGCCTTCCATGGTACCAAAAGAGTGAATTTCATCAAAACCCTTTTGATTTCATAATATCAATTACATTATTGGCAGTTCATTGTTAGTTTTAATAAGTCAAGGCGGAAACTATTTACAATACTTCCTTGTTAGGCATAGGTTCAAACTTTGATTGGGTGTATTACAAATTTTTAGACAGAAGTTGTCGTAGATAGAAGGATTATAGCTTGGAAAAATAATTTCAATAGAGAAAATCATCTTATCAGGACAAATTTTAAGGGAAAATTAATGTTAAATTAAGGGAAAAATAATGAAACATAACAATTCTAGGTAAAAGTGTCTCCCGTGATGAACGGAAAATAAGAGGACATTCGCAAATACAGCCAACAAGCAACTGGACAACGAAATTCACGGAAAATATTGGCGGGAACACAGAGGCAAACGGACGACCAAACGAACAAGAAAATTCTGAGAAAAGTAAATGATGTATTGCAATTTTTTACCTTTCGCTGAAGCCTCTCCAAAACATGCAATTCTTCACCCTTTCTTCTATCTGAAAATAAAATCATCGTGGTGAGATGAAATAAAACAGCGCATTCCAAATAATCTTTCTTTACTTTCATGTTATTTAATCTTGCTTACCTTTATGTTTTTGAACTTCAAGACGACATTTTCTAGCAATTTTTTTGGTTTAGGTTCCATTGCTGCCATTATTATTCTGCTACCCAAATATCTGTGTACAAAATGATTTGAAAATGAACCAGAATGTGACAAAAATATGGTGGTTTAAAAGAGTGGTAGTGGTGGTGACGATACCAAACTATTTGCATATCTTAGCCGATATTCTCTACGTAGGGAAGATAACGCCAGTCGACGCTATCCAGCAGAAAGGTGTTAACAAAATGTTTTGCTCTATCTGCCGGATAGTGAATTATTCAGTGGATAACGTTAATTACCCTTCGAACAACCAGGGCCAGGTGTTTTGAGCACAAAGAAGACAATATTGTTACCTTGTGCTTCCTGTTCCATTCCTGTTGGGTTGACTTTTCAGCAGTATGTCTTGCAGATTCTTATATACACACCCGACGACCACTGATCCTAAAAAAGGTAAATCTATGTATTTCCTTCAGGCTATAAAACAAATAAACCCGATGAGTGCAGGTTTTGGAAGCAATGCCTGCGAAAGCTTGTGAACTGTCCTCCGTGAGAAATAACGTCAACGCTGTTTAATTGTAATCTGGTGTCGATGCCTGTAACAAAATTTCCAGACGATGTAACCTCTGCCTAACTGAAAAACTTTACATTATTAAAGCCGACAAAGCAAGCAACCTTAACAAAAGAGCTGAATTAATTTCTAAATGCTGCCATGAGAACAAATACTGTCTAGTGAACATCGACATCAGATTACAACAGACTTACTAATTAAATAATAACGTTATTTAAAAGTTCCTTCTGTTAGTGTTACATGCAACACAAACTTTCTTTTCGGAACAGAAACTATTCAAACAGCACGGAACTATCAAAGCAGATCTGGACACTCAAAGACAACAACACCAATTTTGAAATTAACTGGAGTATTTTAGCGACCGCCCCGGCCTACAGTAACAAAAGCAAGCGGTGCCACTTGTGCCTCACAGAAAAACTTTACTTAATTAGAGCTAAGAAGCCGTCTTTATTAAACAAAAAAACAGATCTCATTTCTAAATGCCGCTACGAGAATAAGTTTTACTCAGCAAATTTCACAAGCCACCAGCAATAACTCTATAGAATCTTTATTTCACACATAGATCAGATCATCACACTAGTGAATTAATTAGCTACTTATCTTATTTTTATATAAGGAGGCATTCATTCATTGAATAAAGTTCTGTCTGACGAGCGCTTAGGCGCGAAACTTAGAGTCACAGAGAATCGATGTGTCCTCTTTAATTCTTTAATTTATGTATACTTAACTTTGCTACCACAGCATTGAGCACTTTATGCAAAGGTAGACACTACCCCCATATTTATATATACGTATATATATATATTTTTTTTCAGACTGAAGACAACAGGTAACACAAACCGTTATCTGCAAAATTTGAAGAGGCAATATTGATGTTCGTTTGCCATTCGTGTACGTCGAGGTAAAAGTCACTTGCATTTTGGCGGTAGGCCTTTTGGACTTCCAGCACTGAAGGATAAAAAAATAGACTTCCCGCTTATGGATGAATACGATTAAAAAATTGAAGAATTCAGAGACAGACTAGATCCAACATAAGCGTTTGTAAATGGCTCAGGACCCACTCAGTTGTTCTGAGGCCAATTGGCGCTCACCTAAAGTTAAATTCTGATCCGGGTTTCTTTATTCCTTCGCTCAAAAGCCATTTTGAGATAATTTTCTTCACTCTTTTTGAAGAGTCAAACAATCATCAGGATTATAGTCAATAGTCCAATAGAATTATGCTGAATTTTCTTTTATAGCTTTCACATCTGAAATCAGATTTCACATGAATCCTCGACTATCTAAACTTAGCTCAGAACAACCCAGCCCAGTTGTAAAAGTCATTATCCTATTTAGGAGATAAAGTGTCAGTCACTTAGACCGTGAATAAGCATCGACGAAGAATTTTATTCACAAATCTGATAAGTGGTGGTGTTTTTACTCACCCATTTTGTGGCTTACAATCTTTATTGGAAGGTGATGCTTGCCATAATTAAGAGAAAATTTCTCGAAGGCGACAGCCACATTAAAGATGGATTCTCTTCCTTTCTGAAACTCGTCTATGGTGAACTGGCCTTCATGAAGTTTTGTCATGTTTTCAAAGCTGACGATGAAGTTTTCAAACACGTTTACAGCCTCCTGAAATCACGTAAAACAATTTTATCCATGTGATTTTCAATGATATCATAGGGATCTATGTCGAGCGTGTGGTTCTAATTATTTATAACGTTGTTTTGTTACAAGTAGATACCCTTTTGCCATGTATCTGTTTAATAACAGTTGAAATACTTATAGATCATTAACGAAGCCAAAATGTGGTAAGAACAAAGAAACTGATCATTGATTTGGTCAATACTCCTGAAGTTTTCTGTTATCCATAACCAAACAGACGCGCGGCAACTTGGAATCCACTTTATTTGATAAGCAGTGCAAACATTACAAAAGGACGACGAAGATGAGAGTTTTGATGTCAAAGAAGCGTGGAGAATGTGTCCAGTATTAATTCTGTTCCGGTCCTGGAACGATATAAGTATGCAGAGTGTTGTTTAAAAGCTGCGTTTTCCTTGGCCCAGGTAGCCTTATCAAATTTCTTTCCCGCCCTCTGTCACTGTCTCTCTTTACATATAAAAGTACATATAAGCATATATGTAAATATGTACTCGTTCTCAAAACGTCGCTATTTGAATATATATATATATATATATATATATATATATATATATATATGATACATACACCTTTCATTCTCCCATTAGCTTCCGATAGAATAAATTAAAGGGAACGTTCTTCAAAAGGAAAATACAATAGCTGCTGTCAGTCTAAGTTATTCCATGTAACTCGTGAGTTACAGGGAATCATGCATGTTTCATTTTAGTCATTTTGAACTTTATTTCGCTGTACACTCACGTGTATTGAGCACTTTCCAACAGCATTTGCTACAATTTCCCACAATTATATATACACATATATTTACATATTTTTTTGGATATATTCTGTACGATAATATATTAGTTATTGGTAACGTTAGATACCTGCAAAGAGGTCTTTTTGTTGCTATCAAGTCCGCGAAGTTTGGAAACATATTCATTTGCCTAAGATAGTGAAAGTGTCAGTTATTGGTATGAACTAATTACATTCTGAAACTTAACATGTACAAGGATGGTAAATAATCACAAAACTCACCAGCTTCTGAACTGAATTTGAAGGCGACGGCGATGAAGATGATATTATCAAAGATGGCGATGGCCACAGCAAAGACGAAAACGGAGACAGCGATGGTGAGGGCGAGGGCAATCGAAACAGAGACAGCGATGGTGATGGCAACAGTGAGGGCGACGTTCCTAAAGAGATCGATGGCGATAACAACGCTACTGCCTTTGCCGATTCTGATGGCCATACCGTCACAGATGACAATGGTGGCCCTGCTAATTTCGATGAGTTTTCAGGGAAAAAAATAAAAGTAAGGATATACCTAAGCCGATTTCTGTATTCTTTCTCGTACACAGTGCTATTACTATACGTAGTTCATCCTCAAGAAGTTTAATGCCATTAAAATTTACACCTTCCCTTTTGATGATATTCAGCATCACAAAATGTCGTTGGCGTTGCGAAATATGGCGTGTTTCTAGAAGAAATCTCTCTAGTCTCGTTTATAGGCAAACCATGCTGGACGAACTGATTAGTCCACCATAATTGCATCGATCTCAATTCTTTTAATTTCCGGCTCTGAAACCTTAAGTCTGACTATTTTGTGTTGTTCGATATCAAAGTGGCTGGAATGGGTAGATGGAGTATTATGGTCTCCATTTTCGACTGCAAGTCATCTATAATGAATAGTTCACACACGTTTGCGAAGTGGAAAGGAAACGTGACGCGCAAAGCCGAGATCAATATATTCATGACAGTGTGGTCCATGGTGATATTTCTGTCTCACTAAGGGCTTAGACACGCGCTTCTCTATTTACTGTGCGCTAAGCAGGCGCAAATTTGTCTTACCTTTGGGCATCTCACAAATGAAAGCTTTGGGATCTGTCCCCGCTGGATCAGTAGATATGCCCTGTTCACTCGAATCAGACTCCCTGATTATAAATGCCACTTTATTGTTATTGCTTGGCTGGTTTGCTCTCCATTTACTGATGGTCAGTGGCCTTTCACTCACCCAAGTCCAATTTCTTTCCTTTTTTTCCAACCCGATGTACCACTCCGCAGTATAGCGATTTCGAATCTCGCCATCAATAAAGAACCATTCCTCTTCGGTTTCAATGGAAACTAGGTCAACTCCACAGTCTCGACAATAATCTCTGTTAAACATCCATGTAAATCCAGAGGCCATAAACACGTAGCAGGAGTCTTTAAAACAATCTTCAAAATAAGAAAATGAGTCTTCAAAATAATATCCATTTGGAGATTTATCGAAGGTAGACAATATTTCTTTAAAACGTGGGTCTCCTTCCATTTACTCACGAGGGTAAAGCTTAAATACGTTCATTATCACGATGTTCTATGACACTGTTGCAGCAATATTTCATTCATTATTGTGAGAAGCTCGAAAATTTTAGCGATGATCGACACGAATTATCAGGCGTAGGTAGATCAAGAGTAATGGCCATTTTAAAACTAAAATGAAAAAATTGGTTTGAAGCTTCCTCACAGTAAGGGAAATAAAGGTGCAAGGTTGTATCATTTTATCAAGGTCTGGTAGCACTTTTTATACGCTTAGGGGCCTTGAGCACACCCCTAGTTTACTCAATTGTGTTGCGTCTTACCTTTGGTAATTTCACAAATTGAGGCATAAGGCTGATCCCCGTGGGTCACTTGAAATAGGCCCACTTTACTATCATTGAAAGACGTCTTGACTATTATTGCCACATCTCCGTCGTCACTTGGCTGGTTTTTATCCCATTTGCAAATGGTCAGTGGTTTTCCACTCACCCAAGTCCAGTTGCCGGCTTCTTTTTTCAAACCAATCATCCACTTATTATATTTCGATTTGGGTTTTTGAATCAAGTCATTTAAAAAGTTCCATTCTTTTACGGTTTCAATGGAAACTAAGTCAGCCCCCTGCTTTTGACATAATATTCTGTTATCGTTCCAATTCGGTCCTTGGTTTTGCAACATGTAACAGGAATCTTCAAAACATGAAATTTGGCATTCTGGGAAAAAAATAATAAAATGGGAATAACTAAACACAAAAAAACATGGATAGCTTGTTGGCAAAGACCATCCACAGCTTTCATAATGCTATTGTTATTTGTTTTAATTCGTAAATGGTAGTTCTGGGATCAGAGTGAGAGCAAATTAACAATATTTATTCTGAGGCCTGAGGCATACTGTGGTTTGTAAGTGCACTTCGAAAATGATTAGCTAAGTAATCATTTTGATCCTGATAAATCTCTCAGAGTTTTACGATGTTTCCCTTGAAATCTCGGGAAAGTAAATACATGCTTGTTAAAGTCTTAAATTAGCACTTCTCACCTGATCCATATAACTGCTTTGTCAAAGTCAGCATTACTGTAGAGGGAAATTAAAAAATTTTGTTTTTACATGTGTTGGCGCTGAAAAGTTACTTGTCTGACCGGTTTGCGTGGCAATAGATGAATTCACAGGTGGTGTACCGAAATGATTCGGTATGTTTTTCATTACAAATAGGGAATTTTAAAATAAGATGTTACTACCTAAAAGACATCTAAAAAAAAAAATTAAAGAGTTGTATTGACAAATGTCTTTGGCTACTCAAAAATTAGGAGGCAAAGTTTATTAAGCGCTGCTCACGGTTAGAAATATCCCAAGAAAGGTTCACTCGCGTATGCAGACTTACTGTAGTCGCAGTAACTATGTAATCTCCAGATTTTATGATTAAAATTCTTTCAATAGCAAGGCGTCAACTTCCACCCCCCTTAAAAAAAAACTTGAAATAGGAAAAGGATGAAATACTTAATTTGTGGGAAAATCTCTATACTTGATGCACCGTGATCTGTGTAATCTTAAATCACAAATCCACAAATCCAAAGGAACGCGCCCTAAGTTTTTAGAAGACACGACATACTTGTGATAGTCACGCGCAGCCGACTTCTTCAATAGCACGTGTACCAACGAGGCGCCAAGATTCCGACAAGACAAGATTCCGCGGGTAAGAAATAAATTTTCGATAACTTATGGTATGCATGTGCTGCATCCCTAACTTTGTTTCCGATCGAGAAGCTACAACACCAGACCGTTATTGCGCAAAATTTCAACATTTTTTAATTCCAAATCTGCTACGCTTTAAAAGGTCCATTCATGTAGTTGTTTCCTTTTCAGAAATGTGCGACATAGCGACCATCCCTCCGTGTTTAATGTAAGAGAGCAAATATTTTCCGGACAAAATGCCTGCCACCGGACAGAAAATGATCAACGCTTTGAGTTTTTAGCCTTTGTACGCTACGGAAGAGTAGACTTCAATCTTTAAACAACGCTAACGAGCTGTATGCGTGCTCTCCAAAACAAACGCAGTTTTTAAGTCACATTTGTGTTGCTGACTAAAATAATTTCGACACGTCCTCTGTGCTAAGCGCTGAAGAGAATTCTCAGAAGGTTAGGATAATTCTCGAAAGTTATGCAATTCCTTGATAGCCTCTTGCAAAATACCTTTCTCCCAATCCAACTTTCTCTTGTGTTTGAACAAGTCTATGTCAACGCAAGAAAACCTCTCTATCTTTCAGACATTTCTGTTTAGTTTTCCAAAATTTATCGACACTATCCCGAGTGAATATGCCAAAATATGCCAAAACTTGATTTATGATATAAAAACATATATTTCGATGAATTTAATGCGATAAGAATAGCAATTTTCCTTTCCTTGCTAAAAGGTAGCGACAAGGTTTTCAAACATGGTTTGCTCTTCCGTTAGATAAACGATAGTAATTAATATTATGATGTCATAAAGACTAATTAATTGGGACTAAGCTTTAGGTATCAAATCACAAATAGATCACAGTGGTTGAGGTTAAGTTAAGCCTAGAAATCATCATTAAAATGGAGACAGAACTGGATAAAACCTCCATCACTAGGAAATATCGATTCGGCCCGGCTCGAACGGTGAGACATCTGTCAAACCTAATGTCAACTTCAGTCAACTCAAGTTCCCCGTATTCGGTCAGTTAATTAAAAACCATCGATCATTCTGAGATGCCACTTTGCAGGTGAAAGACGAGAGCACTATCACAGCCAAGCGACTGCGTTCATATGATCCTTAACATCATTGCTAGAAATAAAACTGTTGTGCAAACCGTCATAACCCAACAACCATGGTTTGAAATGGTCGCTGCATCTTTAAAAATATTAGATTTTGTCATTCTAGCTGATTGTTTTCAAATATTTAAGTCTGCATCGTACTGAAATAAAGAAACGCAAAATAAGTCGTACCAAATAGCCTGATTCTTTTTCGAAATTATTTTCATGATTTTGTGAAACCACTTTTCTACAGCATTCTGATATAAGAGATATAATTTAGCTGGTACTTACTCAGCGTGCAACTTATAAAAAGCGCGTTGAACATATGTATTTTTCTGGCTTTGATTCCACCCATTTTCCAAATTCATCAATACAAACTATGGATATGTTGCTGTCAATTGTTTTCATGAGATTGATGTAAGTTTCTCTCGAAGGCTGCGCATGTGCAACATATCTTTCAAACTCTTTCGAACTCTCTTGCACTATGTAATTTTGCATATCATAGGCTTTGATCGCTTCGCGTCACCAAGGTTGTATTCTTTTTGTGTACCTTAGTAAACCAGCCAAGTAAACCGCGGAGTATTTGCTCCAGATGCGGAGCATTATTTTATTGAAGAGAAATAAGAACTTCATGACAGCAAAACAACCTTTTCCATTCTAGTTTTATGGAAGTGCATATCGTAATGGTGTAAAATGTTTTCATTTCTTTGGATGTCGTCGGTTCATTTATCAAAGCGCATATGCAGTGTTTTTTAACGCGTTTTGAACTCTCTGTTCGAGTTTCTTTTGATGCACGCACGGTGCTAAGTACGTCGTAACTCTCGATGGGACGCTGTCTTCTCGACGTGTCATAAGTCATAACGTTAACTTGGTTCTTCTTAAATTGAACGACTAATTAAAATGAAGGCTCTAGGCAATAGATGATAAGTATTGTTTTGCTTCGTAAAAACAAGAATTAATAAACCGCATCAACAAAGCTAATATTAAAACGTTTCAATAAATGGTATTTTCTAATGTACTAGTAAAATAAAACTGCAATCATTAAAAACTGGTCAAGCAGTCTCCGACTCTAAACGATAGGCGGTTGTCCAAGTAATTACATATTTTGTCTGTTGCTAAAAACTGCGTGAGATTTCACTTGTTATACGTGATCAATTTTTTTGCAGTTGTCTTCTGCTCATTAATATTCCCTTATGGTTTATTTCAACACGCTATTGTTATTTCTACTTTTGTCAAGTAATTCAATGGTTTCTAGCTCGTTGAATTATTATTTTTGTTTTAGCAGGCATAAGATATCGAAGAATTTTTTCCAATCGCCGGGTCATTAATTTCTGCATCTGCCTAACCTAATACCTGTTAAATCAACAAATAAAAAAGCCTAGACTGTGCTCTGTTCTGTCTCCAAGCACGCAGGAAGCGCCTAGAGCGCGAAAATCTTCCCCTACTTGCAAAGAGAATTTCTAGGATTGCTTCTAAATCGCTCGACTTCCGTCGCTTAATGAAAAACTTCCAATGTTTCCGGCTGCCATCTGATGCATAAACGGGGCGCGATAATGTACGTGATTCTCTTTTCAAATCTTGTCGCAACAGCTTTGAAGGATGTCAATTAAGCTATAATTGTGTTTCTTTTATTCTACATGTGGCTCCTTACACAGATTGCCGCAGCGAAAACAACATGAATAACGATGACTTTTCCATTGTTTTTCAATCGTTTGGCATTGTATGGAAACTGAAAAACATTATGACACTAGCTAAGAGAAGAATCGCCATCGTTTTCTTTGATAATTGCCACCTGAAAAATCTCTTGTCTCAGTTTTTTTTGCCTGAGTGTCACAGGAAGTTCCCAAAATCGATAAAAACTATTCGCATGTAGAAAGTCAAGTCTATAGATCTCATTTCTACGTTATACCTGAAGGAAATAAGAGAGGTGGTACTTACCCAGAGCACAACTTCTCAAAAAGGTTTTGAACAATTTTCTAGATTCGGTTTCACTTATCATCCAACTCGTCAAGGCCACTATGTACACAGATAGTTATCAGTAGCTGTCGTTACGTTACATTGTATTTGGGAGCAGCGCATGAACGGTATTTCCCTCAAGCATTTCAAACTCTTTAGTATTAGCTAGATTTAGATGCAAATCATAATACTCGGTAGAACGTTCGGAACGTGAGTCACCATTTTTTTTGCTTGGTCGGACCTATAGACTGAAAGTAATTTGCAGCAGGTGCGTAGTACTGTTCGTCTTCATAAAAGTTAGAAATTCACGACATAAAAGGACTTTTTACAATGGGTTGATTTCTACAATCAACCTATCGCCGTTAACTAAACGATCGTATTGCAATCGACTGCCATTTCCAGTTGGTTGAGTTTACTTTTTTAAGTTAATCATGAATTCCATTTCGGTTCAAATTCATTGCAATACTGTACTGTCATTCAACCGTCCATACATCCCCGACACCTCTTCGATTGATCTGTAAGTTTTACTTTGCGGAAATTCACCTTCCTCGACGACAGAAAGACAACGTTTATCTTTTTATCTGCAGCTTTGATCCGCAGATTGACAGGCGGAATGTTATTAGTTTTGTTAATATTCAGTATCTTATTCATGCCTGAAAACTTCATTCTATGCACTGTGTATATTTGCAGTTTAATGCTTTTCCTACTTGCAGGTGTAGAGGAAAAAAATCAGGACACCCTGTAGCACATACGGGATATTAAGTATATCTTTTCTGTTTTAGTAACCTATCCACGTGAACAGTAGCGGAGGTTTGTCTGAGCTATCCAGATGCACGAGACTTTAAATAACATACTCAATAAGTTCTCATAAGATTGCAGTTAATACAAAAAGAAAAATTGGAAGGAAGAAAAATAATAAATCTTTTGAATCAAGAAGAACATTTTTCACCTCTTTCTTTCTTTTTTTTTTTTTTTTTTTGCGAATTCTTCTGTAAAAAAATGGCATGTGACCATATAGAAGGGGAAAACAGTGAAAGAAGAGGGTAAGATTATTATTAATTTTTTAGCGAGCGTGGTAAAGACCAACATTTCTTGTAGTAACTAAACTCATTTAGATGATGACTTCGAAGTGAGTCTAATAGAGTCGATTTTTAATTGACCAGTTATTCTTCAGGCTTCCCGGCAAAACCACTTTCTCTTTATTATGTAGCAGCCATTATTTGTGTATGAGAGTCGTGATGAACTAAAACGATTTCACAATTTTTTAGTGGAAAAAAAATAAAATGGTCTCGTATGAGCAAAAACATTACATTACGGATCGCCGTTTAAATATTTGCTGCTTTGAATTAATCAATATACTGTACGCTTACGAGCTCGCTGAAAAGGCGTGAGTCTGGTTCGTGGCTGGTCAAAACATGGTTGAAACGGCCAATTAAGGAACTCGCAGTTAATCGCGTAGGGATCTTTGCGGCCTAGTATTACTCGCTATTTTTTTTAGGCACCGGAACATGCGCAATTAGAGATATACACCCTGCGGAAAGAATAACAAAAAAAGATGACTTTACATAATTTTTGCATATTCTGAAGCACATTCAAGGATATATCGTTGAGTTCTCTGTCAATCAAGGTCTCCAGAGGTCTCCTGTCGTCAAATATTTAAAGAAAAAAATTAAATTCTTGTTATCACCTATAACTTTACTGGTACATCCCACTTTACTTGATTTCTGCCGAAGAAATCGATTTACGTTCAAATTGAGACCAGAATTTTATCGCTCATAAAGTTGCAAAATATGAACCCATGACCTCTGCGATACCGATGCAGCGCTCTACCAACTGAGCTAACAAGCCAACTGGGAGCTTGTCTTTATGTTGGGTCTAAATAAACTATCCAAGTGATGAATAATGATTGTGGATATATAGTATATATCAAGAACTATTCCTTGCGCCGTGAACCTCTGCGCTTTTCAAGATTCTGAGAAAGCATTCCTTGATACACGCTTAAAGCCATGAAACAATTTTTAACTTAGGAAGAATACCATTAATTTCTTGGGGTACGTGATATATTAGTTATATAGAACGATCTCAGGAGTAGGATAAACAAATGATGATCTAATTAGAAGTGTTTGCAATCAGTGCTTGGACAGGTCAAGATAAAACGCAGACTGTAAACCGCGCAGACCGCGCAGACTAAGAAATTGTTTTGTTTTTTGTTTTTCTTTTTTTATCTGACGAAACTTGACGAGGTTATTTCGAGCGTGTGTGAAATAAAAGTTAATTGAACAATTTCCAAGTGACCAGCAGACGGGACTCGAGGTTTCATTGGTATTTTGTTTTATTTATTTATTTTGCCAAAAATAAAAAAAATATGGGAAAACATATGTCACTGTTGGTGTGCATTTATTTTTCTTTAGAACTGAAGTCTGACGGAATAATTTGGTACGGTTGAAAGGTCGACGCCGGCTACGATGAATTCCCATCAGATGGAAAATAATAAAAAAAAAAAAAATTTGAGTACACGCCTCTTAAGCGTATTATTTGATCAAGAAACGAGGCAAAACACTATTCCTAAATTAAAATGTTTTTTACAGTATTTGAAGTTTGTAGTTGATACACACCAGTGACTCTCCCACATTTGTGGAATGTTCTGCCGGAAAGTGATTAAAGTTTTATTTCTTTTATTTCGAGCCGTCATGGAAGCATTTAGTTTTGTTTAAAACTGTAGAAGCGAAACGAAGTACTTTAATCTGGCTCAAAATTGAGTTGTAGTAGTTGAATCACAGTTCAGGAGAAATGTGTTAAACAAGGCACGCAACCCATTATGCACAAGAAATGTACCGGCATTCAAGAAACGAGGCAAAACACTATTCCTAAATTAAAATGTTTTTTACAGTATTTGAAGTTTGTAGTTGATACACACCAGTGACTCTCCCACATTTGTGGAATGTTCTGCCGGAAAGTGATTAAAGTTTTATTTCTTTTATTTCGAGCCGTCATGGAAGCATTTAGTTTTGTTTAAAACTGTAGAAGCGAAACGAAGTACTTTAATCTGGCTCAAAATTGAGTTGTAGTAGTTGAATCACAGTTCAGGAGAAATGTGTTAAACAAGGCACGCAACCCATTATGCACAAGAAATGTACCGGCATTCAAAAGGCGCTCGTTTGTTGTTCATCACTACTTATCATTAAGTCACTAACCAGTTCCCAAAAAAGATTTTTTTGCCTTCCATTTTAGGTCAACCTAGGCGTAGAATAAAAAATTTTAAGTGAGAAAACGTAATTTGGTTTCTAAGAATGAAAAAAAATAATAATACCGGTGAAATTGGGTACCTATCGAAGTCGATTGCGTGATAGGTCATGAATGAATTTGTTAGTGTCTCGCAAGCTGTAACAGCTGAAATTCAATAGCGAGCAAAGTGCGGACTGCTCGGTCTGCATTCCGCGTCTTATCATGACCGGTTTTGAACCACAATGGGCTGCCACGGGAAGTTGCTGCATCGTATAGTAATTTTGAAACAACTTGCGTGCTTCGAATTTCTTTGCGTTGCTAGTTAGGAGAGATTTTCGTAGTTTGGCGTTGATTTCGGTTTGGAGTGGTTTGGATTGGAGGCGGTTTTAGCTTGCGGCCCTTGTCTCCCTTTCTTCTCTTAACGGCCTCCGGCCAAAAATGATTTCTTAAAAAGACGTTTCAAACGGCCATGAAGGGTGCAAAATATCACAAATACGTTGATTAATATTTCACTTAACTTTATTGAGATATTCAGACCGAGATGTTATTTAGATATGCAAATGTCAGAGCTTTCTTCATATTTATAACTCTCATATATTTTGTTCGTCGTATGTCAACAATTATTTAAGTACAACCACGAACACATATTGTGGTCTGCCAGACATGACCAAGGCATTCAAGAAATTGGCCTCGCCGATCACCTCTCAGAGACTGTTGGGTGACACTGGTGTTGGTATATCTTAAGTCTTTCTACTTATCGTCTCTAGAGTTTTGGAGTCTTTTCCGTCCCCCTACAGCCATTTGCCTCAAAGTAAACAGCTCCATCTTAGAGGTCAGCCGCATCAATTTGGTGGGGAAATGATCAGTCCACCAATACTGTACATTCGGAGAAGAGAACAATGTCTCGAAAGCAAGGTTCGTGGAAAACTGTTCGCTTTGAGAAATCAATGCTGTCCAAGAGCGGTAACCTAGGAATATTTTCGAGCCATATAGAGGCTGCCGAGATTATAATCCTTCAATTTTTCGAGGCACGCGGAAAAATCTCTTAGAAACAGCTTAACGTCAAAAACCTTTAAGGCTGGTTTTCATTTGCGACAGAGTCGGAGTTTCAATTAGAAACACAAAACGATACAATCCTGTGACGGAAAATCATGCCAACGGAACCAGAAGAAAAATATAGATGCCAACCCCGTTTCCTATCATCCATTGAAAACTGGATTAAAGCCGTCGTACGTCATCGAGAACTGACAATGGGATTGATTTGTTTTTTCCGCTTCCGCTTTATTTCTGCGAAATAATCAATTTGTGTTGGTCACCCTGTTGTTGAAAAGTTTTGATTGCGTTACACTGTTACACTGTGCTTCTTTATACCCCACAGTTATGGCATTTTGCCTGCTCTTCTTTAGATCAAATCGTTTAATCCTCATAAAAAAATAGAAAGGTGATAAAAATATTGGAAATTCGTGAAGCAAATATCATTGCTTCAAAATGAATAGATATGTTAGTTTTGAAGCGGAACATTTCGTAAGCATCCTTCTAATTTGCATAATTTGCACATAACATCACATGCTCGGTTTGAACGGTTCAAAGTCAAATTTTTCCCGGAATACGAGCTCTCGAAAATCATGGATGACTATCAAAGCATCGCTTCGAAAGGACAACGTCTTGCCTTTGCTCATATTCTCGTTGGGTTTGCCCTGATCGTTGCCGGCATTCTGGACAGATTACAGCTGGAGTCTTATTTTGGTTATTCATGTTTTGGGATTTGGGTCGGCATTTGGGTAAGATGGAATGTGGCAATGCAGTATTTTAGTGAATGTTGCACTAAAGTCATCGCGAGAGTATTCCGGGCGTTAAGATAGAATTAGAACATTTTGAAAGTCGCTGAAAGATGTAGCTTCGGAGACTTTATTCGATAGATTGCCTAATGTCTCACTCGCTCGAATCGTCCATACAAGTTGGTATTTGATAAGTTGTTTCCCATTACCCAAGATAACGCGATTAAAACAAGCACTCAAAATAAACTGAACAACTATTTCCAACTAATGTCCCTTTTCTTTCAATCGAAGTTTGAAGGCAATTTACATTTATTATGACTCTTTTCTGTGCAACCGGAAGTCATTTGACCTTTGACCAAGTATGCGTGAAAAAGCAAGCATCGACACGAACTGCCTTACACGTACATAATCGTGTTTATACAAAAATAAATCTGCAGTTAAATAAATCGCTTGTACGCGTTTCATGTTGCAGAAGCTCTACTAGATGAAATCATCAAGTTAATTTTATTTTATTCGATTGACTCATACTCATTTATAATTTATATTTACGTTAGGTCGCTAAATTTCCGTTTAAAAAGAAAAAAAAACAAAGCGTGAGTATTTAAGAAGAGTCGCAAAAGTCTAACTTTGTGCTCTACTGCTCATATGACTTATTACGCAACACTGAATGTTAAGGCCTCTTCTACACTTATGAGTAGCTCGATTCTCAAACGTTGGCTCGCTCGACGAGGAGGGAATGGGATAAACCGATATTATCATCATTTTTAAAAATGCCATTATGCTAATCTAAAGCTTCTATCGTAGATGTGTATCACAGGAGGCCTCGGCATCTCTGCTACTAAGATGTTCAGAACGTCAACAACCAACATTTATGTAAGTACATGTACATCTAAGATTTTGTATAGCGCAATTCCGACAACCGCTTGGGAACTTGCTATTTTAAAAGCAAGTTCTCGAAACGTTTGAGCTGGCTGATTGGCCAGCTTGGAGTTGAACATTGCTAGGTAATATTCACTTCCGAGTTGCCAAACGCACGTCAAGAGTTTAGTTTCCGATCATTTTTCGGTACAAGGACTGAAATAAGCTGTATTTTTTCTTGTTCAGTAAAAACAATTATTAATCTCAGAGTTGGATGGAAATTTACCTCCGATTCGGTGATTCGATATCATTCAATATTGTACTGTGAATACATAAACAATGCTGCTACTACTTAAAAGACTGCGAGCGTATACCAGGCATTGTTATATTCTGGAGTCTGTGTATTACAATGCTAAAACAAATTACGCTATCTATCATTTCACTAACAATTGTAAAAAATAATTCAAATCCTCTTTGTTATTCGTCGTCAAGATTTTGAATAATTCAATCGTTAAATGTCGAGTATTGACTAGAGACAGACCAAGAGAGAACCTTTCATTTTATCTCCTTAAGGCGGCTCTGTTTATGGCATTTTCCATAGTATCGTCCGTTAGTGGCCTACTTATCAGCTCCTTATATGGAGCAACAGAATTGAGAGCTTTCAGTATAACCATGGTAATCCTTGGTGCTCTTGAGTTTGGCATTGGAATTGCAGCGTCTGTGTGCTGCTGCTTGATGAAGCCTTGTACATGCTGTTGTTGTGTCTCCCCAGATGAGGTATTGTTTGTAAAATAATTCAAAGAAACGTTTAATTTGCTCCCCTAACCACCCACCTCTCTACCCTTCTACTTACCCACCTTCATCTTACCTACCCACCTTCGTTGCTTACCCACGTGCTTAACTTCTTGTCTATTTTCATATCCAGCCACTAAGTAACCCACCTGGTTATCTGTTGACTTACTTGCCTATCTAACTACCCATCGACTACCTCCTTTCCTGCCTCAAAACCTATTCAAAAATTTATCGGAAAGATCTTTGTAAACAAACACCTCTATTTTGTGCGAAAATATGTTCAGATATTTGTGCGCGGATATCATCTGTTGCAAGATGCGAACAGTTTCTGAGAACGGATCTGCAGGAAAACTAAGAGCTTCCAAGAACAAACAATGTCCAAGGACAAATATCAGTTCATATTTTCAAACAAAATAGAGGCTATTGTGTTCATTATCCTTCAAAGATTTTGCAACGCCCGGGAAAAAATGCTTACGAACAGCTTACCGTATGCAGCGTGGGTTGTTTTCTTTTGAGTGATTTCCGGTACGACTTATGGAAAAAAAATTCCATTTTTCTGTAACATCCACAAAACCCTATACAATCTTGAATAAAATTTGAAACTAATACTTATCATAATAGAAATTATGTTTAAAAATTGGGGACTATCACTTGGGTGATGCTCTCAGATATCACCTAGTTTTAGCTTGAGTATCTTCGGTCTGGCGTTGCGTTTAGATCAATCGCGGGCGAACAAAAATGTTTGATGGATCGTAATTACATATACACACACCCTTTATAGTCCTATTACATAAAAAATGTACCTTCCTAACCTATCCCACCCACATATTTACCAATATACATATTTACAGAGCACTATCTCCTTTTCAATGTCATAATTTCCTTTCTTTTGTCTCTTCTCATCTAAAATTTTTAGAGACGACCTTTAGTGTATCCACCACGTGTTCAGCCCATATTGGTTGACAGGCAAACTAACTATGTTGCCGTCGTAGTCCCTCCGTGAAAAAATCGCACTCAAGGAATGTGAAACTACGTGAATCTCAAGATCATCAATCCAAATGTTTCAATAATTTTTTTTTTTTCATCATTTGTGAGTTGACTACTTGAGAGACTAAAAAGAAACCTAATAAAAAAGTGATATCGCATTTTAATAAACAGGCGTGGATTCGTTTCGTAGCTTAATTCATAATGACAAAGGCATTATAATATTTACTTTCTTTGATATTTTTTTAATCGGAAATAAAACTAGTCTTATTCAACTTTTTTAACTGAAAGTCTTATTTTTGCTTTTTGGACGTTTTTTTTTTGTTTTGTTTTGTTTTTCTTTTTGTGTTTTTTCTTTTTTTTTCTAAAATATGTTTTTGTTTCACTTTTATTTTGCAGACTATTTAAGACTTGTTTTATGTTCGAATTGCGGTTTTTTGTTTAGTGTCACCTTAGAGTTTTACGTCTGTTTAATCACTAGTTTCTCCCATAAAATTCCTTATGAAGACGAAAATAAGAACTAAAAAGTTAGTAATCATTATGTTGATTCTTCATCATTTGAAGTAAAACCTTCTCAAAAAGTGTCTTGTAGAGATATCGCAAAGCCTTCTCAACAAGAGTCCTCTGGGGATAATGTCTATGATAAACTCAGGAAGAGACTACTACGACATTCTTTAGTAGAAAAAAGTCAGCACTATAGCCAAGTGAATCACCTCGTTAAAAGCTCACCCCAGTTCCCTAGGTATTGCTTTTCTTCCCGGATGGGATGATGATCCGAACCAAGTTTACCTCTAATTCGTCCGAGCTCCATGACACTTCGCCGGCACTCATTAATATCCCTGAGTGGAGAGAGGGACTGTGGAGAGAGGGACAGGCGGGTGGAGAGAGGCACTCGTACTGTATGTGAGACTATTCAAAGTGTCTTTCCAAAGACCTTGCCATGGCTCGAACCCAGACCTCTTAGCTCAGCGCGCCAATTGGTCGTGCCATGTGCCGTGAGGCAGAATACAACCTGCTAAACATTTAAAGCGCTTAGTAACTGAGATAGTTCTTGAGCTCCTGTAAAACGCCCATTTCGTTTACAACTCAAGAAATCTAGTGCACCTCTACTGATTTCATTCATTTTATTTTGACAATGCATATTATGTCAACACTATCAAATGTATTTGCAGATTTTGTATTTAATTTTTTCTCAGAAGGCACGGTAACGAATCCTGCAATCTGACTGGTTCTTAGTGTGGTCTGGGTTTTCATTATATTTGGCCACGAGCACAGTAACTTTCGTGAGTCGCCGAGTATAACTCTAACTTCCTAACCATTTTCCATCAATATATTTTGTTTTGCCGACAGTGCATTATTTTTAAGCAAGTTATTTTTACCAAATCAGGCCGATTAATAACTTATTAATCGTCTCTTTTCTCATTCTCAAATCTCTTTGATTGCCGACAGAAAATTTTTTTCAAAATTAGTTTGTAGTAGCATATTTTTGATTAAATGGGTTGACTCGCGGCCTATAAATACTTTTCAGTTAACTTTAATCAATCACAAGATGTAACTCAGAAATTTAAAACTGAGATATTTATTGACGATTGAATTAATCGATAAGACTTTCATTCATTCAATGTCTGAATTCTCTTAAACTATTTTTTCGTTGTGGTGAAGTTTTCAGTCCTACTTCAAATACACTTTCGGTAAGTCTTTTCGAGTCGACCTGTTCAATTTACCATTTGCACTGTAAATTTCATTGCCAAAACCATATGAATTCAACGAGCGAAAGCCGCGTTAACTTCCCCTTGGGTCTACTTAACGTGTCTCATTTGTCTCGAGTTATTTGGTAGAAAAAGACAAGAATTTACACGCTCCGTCGTTTCAGAGTTTGTTTGAAGGCCTTTTAAATCACCTTTATCGCTACGCAAATGAAAATATTTCGATGAGGTCTATCTCTTAAGCTTGCATTATCTCTGTTTTAACTACCATTTACTCTCTTAGAAATAGTTCAGTTTAATGAGGATCTTGCCGTTATTACAGCCCTAAATTATTTGGGTTATTTTGGCGGGAATTTCATGAAGTTTTAGAAAAAAAAAATGTTATTCACCAGTTTAGGTCGGTCCGTATTGGGAAAAAAATGTGCCCTCTGTCTTGAGCACCGCACTCGGCCTACGGCCTTGGGAGTTACTTGGCAGTTTTTCCCACTATAGATCTCCCAGCTGGCGAATAACATATATGGCTCCACCTAGACACAAAAGGTTAGTTAGATCGACGCTCTAATGAAGTTTGCCTTACATTTTATGAGACAGCACTGTATTTTTTCCTTTTTTTCTGCCTATTTACTCTCTATTCAGAGTTGACTAATTTGTTTATGAATGCATAATACCTCAAACAACACATGGGAGTGAAGACACACACTCCAAGAAGTTTCTGCTTCTCGTTGTGTTGATTTCTTTTCGTTTGACGTTAATTATTTTTGTTTTGTCTATAGAGTTCAACCTGATTATGACACGCGCATAATTCATGGTGAATTATAGATGTTTTTTGTGGTCAAGATCATCACAAGTACGCCCTTGATTCATTTTTCAGAAATTTTGCTTTTTGACTTTAACTATAAATTGAGCCAATAAATTTATTTCGTTAATTGGCAGTTTGAAGGGCACAGATATGTTAAACACTCCACCAAATATTAGGAAATTTTACGGACAGAAACGCGATGAGTCCCACTCGAAACATTTCGATTCCTACTCTAAAAAACTCATTGTGACTCACTGGCTTTAAGCTTAATTTCGTCATCGTGACTTAGTTAGACGCTGAGGAAATTAAGCATGGTGCGGATGCACAATGCAATACCGATAAATGTAAAATAACCGTTATAATTCTGGTCAAGAGAAACGCTTTTATGGGTACAATGATAAGTTACATGTAAAATTGTTTTCGGGGCCTAATCAGATGGTACAATTTACACTCCTGTCCTCCTGATGGACACAGCCGTGGTCTCCCCATTCATTCCGTCTACAGTGAGATAACCAATCTTCCGTCCCTAGGCATTTGACTTATTCCACCCAGATCGGACCAGATCCCTGACCGCGTCTAGAACAACCATGAGCCTGACATGCATCAGAGAAGCCAAGCTGACGACCTACGACGTTGGCCTCGTTGATTTTCCAGTGATCATCAGACACTATGAGAAAAATTAAGAGCGCCGATTTTTCCTAGAGTTTTGCATCCTGTTGAACTACATGCATGCCTTGATGTAGGGAAAAATAAGGTAACTTAGCTCCATTTTCCACATATAACCAAAAATGTGCTGCCTAAAATTTCTTTCATTTGCTCTGAGGAAGTGCAAACGCCACTCGAAAAGTCAGGTGACCACTTATGCAAAAGATCGTGGTGATGAAGAGCTTTTCTGAATGGCCTAGAGCGTTCTTTGGGAACCACATCAAATTTTAGTATATAAGTAGACACTCTGACTGGCTACTAAAACTCCAAATATCCGTTTCTATTCACCTCTTACTGATTTGCTTAGAATTTGCGCCCGAAAATAGTATGACCATGGCAGTAAAAAATTAGCTAAAATCGTATTTCTGTGTACTATCTCGCTATATTAGTGTACACCAAAACAACTGTTCACCTCAATGTCGGTGGCTAGCAATGGATATCTACATTGCCACTTCTCCCCCACCAGCCATTTCCATTCAGATGAGTAGTTGTTAAGTATTATTTCGAACCAAATCTAAAAGAGATACTTAATGGCACTGTCCTTTAAAGCACTTATTAAAAATAATACATAATTTATACATAATCCTTTCTAGATAAAAATATAAAGAATATACCTTCAGCTCTAATCCAATGCTAAAAGCCAAAGAATTGACGTTGATAAGTGATAGCTCGTACATTCGTTCCATGGTATACGTAGCTCGCTGCTTTCACCAGATCCCTCACATGTTCTTTACCTGTTGAGCTATTTAGTTCACAGTGGTGTGCTTCTGCTCCATTTTGTCTAAAATAAAGTTCACGCTGACACAGTTATGGTTCAGCCGGGTGGCAATGATATTTACACGTGTCTCTGCAATCACACTGATGTTTGCTATTAGACGTTCCCCCACGAAGAACAGAGTGGATGGAAATGCTAAGATACGGCATTAATCTAAAAAGAAAATCAATGAAACATCCGATTACTCTAGTTCTACCTCTCGGTAGAGTTTTAGACGTTGCTAAGCATGTTATTTAGAGATGAAAATACGAATATTGATGATCCCGACATTTTTCTGGATCCTCTATGTAAATAACAAAATACAGAGGTTTAACGGGTATTGGAAACAGTGTTTGCATCATGCGATATCAATCGGTTTTTCGACTCGGTAAGCTCGGTAGCATATTTGACCTCCAAAAGCGATCAAGATTTTTTCAATACAAATGTAATTTTTAAAAAGAAGTCAATTCTTTACATAGCGGGCGAGAAGTTGTTGCAGTAGTTTACGGACAGAGGTAAAGTAAAAACTCTTAAAGCCCAAGCCCGAGGGGTGTTAAAACTTGAGAAGCACTCCTACTTAGCATTTAATACTTTTAAAGGAAAAAATCTTGAAAATGAAATCACCACTGGTGTATACCTTGCTTTTAAACCCAAATTGTCCTTACCTATTTTAAAGGTTGTTAACTGATTTTATTTAATCGGTTTGTTTGTTAGGAACACACAGTTTCAATAAGGATATTATAAAGAGCCCTTTAAACTCTCTTAAAGTTTAAGACCTTTCGTAAAAATTGAAAGATGAAATTGAATATCAACTTGAGGATCAATAATCTTACAATAATAATCGCGAAACATCTTACCTACTCATCGACTAGGAAGATTTCCTGTCCGCTCTGCTTATTTAATATTATGTTTATTTCATACTTGAAGTTATTTCTTTATCGACGCTGTAAAAATTGTTTGCGATGGAAGTTCGGTCAAATAACAAATGCAAACTTATTTCCACTGATTATGTAAGATGGTATTATTTTTTCATTATGTCTGGGCTAAAAGAAATCAATGGATCTCATAATGTGAAACTCATGTCTTTTGAAGGACATTGCGAGAACTCTGTTGGACTTTTTTTTTGGAACGAAAATTTGGTTAACTGAGTCTCTACAGTAACGATCGTGGTACTCTCATCTCCAGAAGACAAAAAAGTGAATAAAGGGAGGATTTTTCCTCATAGATAATAACAAAACAGAGGACTAAA